GGTGTTTTTCTTGCTCTTTAGTTAATGCGTGTCTCTTATTTAATTCAGTTGTACTTCGGTGATGTGGAGGGTACTGTCATTTTTTACGAAGATACTCTGTAACTAGTACGCCTTAGTCCTTGATCAGAACGGCACCATGGGCCACAGAAAGGCGATGTTAATGTGGATATATAGTGTAAGGGTCTTTTACATACTTACTCAGAGTAAATAATAGATGGTCTCTGCACTTATACCTCAAGTAACCTAACCTATCACGAACCATCAGAGTAAAAGTCTGGTGAAAAACGGAAAGAAAGTAGCTTACGATGACAGTAATGGTAACAGATGATGCCATGATATTTGGAAGTTGTTTTTGTCCGTAATGATGCGTTATTTAATTGCATGTATTCCGTAATATACAAACATTGCCAAGTTATTTACAAGATAATGTCGTTGATTTTGAAAAATAAAAATTCTGCCAAAAAAAGAAATTTCTAAACGATTATTTTACCTTAGTTTGAGCTCAACGGCATTGTTCAAGTTCTTTCGTAAGTATTGTGTTTTTAATGCCATTTACAACTTGGTTTCTTTTTTTCTTCCGTAATTAACAGCACTTTTAAAAACCGATTTAATTTACATAGCCAAATTAATTTATTTTTCAGATTAAACTGATTCAGAATGCAGGTAAAATTGCTAAGGATATTTTATATTAATTATAATGTGGATTCTTCTTCTTCCCTGTGTTCTTTTAACCGTTCTCAGATTAACTGCGATTCGCAAGTTAATTGCTGTTGTAAAATTTGGAAAAATTAAATGAAGTCATTCGAAGTTTTGAATGATATTCTATATATTCACTAACTTCATTATTGTGAACGTGAAAAATAAAAATTGGGCAACAAAAACCCATTGTAGCTTCCGCCATCAGAAAGAACGTTTTGACACTTTACCTGCTTTTTATTAGAAGAAACGCCCGCATAGCATGCTGCAACATTCGTTCTCAAACTTTAACATCATAGTTCGAAACAGGTCAATGATGCGGGTTTTCCAAGCGGAACAGGAACAAAGTACTTCATGACACACTCTTTGTGACAGATTTTTATTTTTTTTCTTTTATTAAAACACTTAGCGCCCATAAGTTCTAATGTTTTTTTGGCTGTAGAATATTAGACGTCGCTTTCTTTTTCTTTATGTATACAGACAAAGATTAAGTCAAAAATTAATTCTGTAGAGTTGTAGCAGTTGCTGTAGTCTTTCGCTATTTGTCAGTTGCTGCTGACTTTTAATTAAGGAATGGTTACAAAAATCATACTGTTGATAATTCGTGTACAAAAAACTATGGATTTTTGACTTCGTAGATATGATATATGGAAGGTTATTGAAATATTCTCAAAAGAATGTTATATTCCGTTTATGAAATACTGCTAAAATAATATTTTTTAAAGGAAATGCAATTTATTTTGAACTAACAAAAATATTTTTTAATCGGAAACTCACAAATTTTGTTTAATTTAAGGAAATTTTTAGCAAAACTTTTGAAAATCTCTGTTCTTCGCACTTAAAACATAAAATTAAGCTCAACAACAATATCGCAAAATATTTTTCTAAAACGAGCATGTCTTTAGAATTTCCGATGCACAGTCTTGCGCGCTGGAGATAAAACGTTTTTTTCCCCCTCGTGCAGTGTTGCTATTGCTCGCTTTGAAATCATTGAGTTTGTTAATCAAAAATTTGTCAAAGTTTTACAGAATATGAAGTAGATAATAAAACAAATTTCAAATTTGGGCTTCCAGATGCCCATATTCAAGTGGAGACTTATTCAAAATTTGCTGGATCTAGGTACCGTTGTTTTATCACTATATATTATCACTGGGCAAATTTCCCCTTTGGACTTGGGGGGGATAAGCAAACTTCAAAAGAGTTTACAAAGAAAGAAGGAAATAAGCGACTGAAGCTTTTTTACAAGGGATCTAGAATTATCTAGAACTATTATGGTACATTTGTGCAAACGCACGCATTCAGTATTTATTAAAAATGATTTCGGACATAAAGATATTACAACATAGTTTCAATACAATTTGAAATTCACAAATTAAATTGAACATGTGTTTTGATGTAACAAATATAATAAATTGGTTTTGGTTCATTCAAAAATTATTGCAAAATACTCGAGTGTTATCTATCTAATAGAAGGGATGCCTTCGTGGAGGACTTTCTAAGGGACACTGGCTCATATACGCGTTACACATGGGGAAAACCACGAAAAGCCATGTGTAACGCGTATATGAGCCAGCACGTTCGTCGTATGCAGCCGGCACGTTCGTCGGAATTCGAGCTTCGGACTGAACTACCAGTGTTTAGCGACTTTTACCTCTCGGCCGTTGTTGGTCCCTATCGGTTAAAGAAATGTTGTAATATAACAATACTTTCATATGTTAATATCTGTAGATAATATCTGTTAACGGAATTTCTAGATTTTTAAAGGGAAAAAGACTAAGCGGAATCAAGTGCTTTTTGGGCTGCTTTTATTTGTTAGAAGTCACATGATTAGGAGCATGTATATTCGAGCTTCTGTAGGCAGAAACTGAAGAGAAAAGGCGAACAAAAATTCAAGTAACAAAAATTTGATTTGTCGAGAAAAGTTAGCATTGATATTGAATTGTATGTTTCGAGTTTCAGTTTGACTTAATGAAAGTTTCAATTGATTAGAATTCTACTTCATTTCATTTTGAAAAACGGTTTCGCGAATGATAACGGGCATAGTATTTTACTTATTTAGTTAAGCGAAACAATTTAACAAAATGTAAGTAAATAATAGCAAATGAGCAGATTATTAGTGTCTTTGTTTCCATAGGTTGTAAGGATCTTAAGTTTTACTAACGTTTATTTTATTTTAAATCTTTACTATCACTTCTTATTTTCTACTTCCGGCCAGAATTATAAGCGTGAAGGTATTTATGCAAAGTTTGTCTGGCGAACGCCAAGTATTTAAGTTGTGGCTTTTTGCCAAGCGAGAGAGAGGAAGCAGTGAGTCAAAGCAGGCCGCTTACCTTAGAAGTTACTTAGTTGCTGTTTGCCTTCCAGGCCAGAGGTTTTAATCCTCTTGATAAATTTAAACGTATTGTAGTGTTCACAGTTCTCTGTACTACATACGCTTCCTGTTAATATAAGGCCAATCTTCCACGTTTATTATTCTAAAGTTAAATTAGAGTTTAGTTTTATTTTTATACTTTTACGTTAGATCCCAAGTAGCGGGTCAGTGTATTCCGAAGTACGGAAGTTATTGTATATAGAGAAAAATAAAGGGTTTTGTATACCCTTCGTCTGTATCCTGTCTACTTACCACAATTAGTGAACATAGCTTTAGTAAGCTCTCTGTTCCGAGTCAGGTCCTTGTATGTTACCGAAGAAGGTAAGAAGGAACATTGACCCTGATAAGGTAACTGGTTCATTTACAGGTTTCTTATATTTGTCAGTGAACAGGAAATTTATATTTCTTCAGCCATTTTATTTCATTATTCTTTTTACTTTTGAGAGTAATGGCGTAAGAAAGAAGTTTACGAAGTCCAATTGCCAACAACAAAATATATACCAATAACTCATAAAACAAATTTGGATTTTTCATATGAAGGAATAGGTCTCAGAGCATTCCATTATTTAAAAGCAATTACATTACTGAAACGGTAGAAATAACCCAATTCCAGGTATTCTGTCATTTTCAACTAGAGTATACCACAATTTTATCTTCAGATCGTCTGCTATTTTATACGCGTGCTTGTCCTGCTCCTATTTGAACTATCTCGATTTGAAGAAAAGAAATCAAGATATGTAGGTCATGTTTTGGTTGGTTCGTAATTTCTTTTCACGCGACTCAGAGACCATCGATTTTCTTTACGTGAAAGGCGGATCGTGCTAGTGACCTTGCCCCCGTCCCCACTAACAATGAAAAGTAACCGAGGGAAGAAGAAGCAGGCCAAATGAGAACGCCTGAATGAGTATCTTCTAACGCAGATGTACTACAACAAGCTTGCAAAGGTCTCTTATTGTAGTCTGTAGTCTAAATTTTTAATATTTTACTGTATGTATCTGATTTATTAGCTTTGATGAAAAATTGATTCATATTTTCAGGAAAAAGTATGCGGCTCGGGATGAAAAGATATATCTTAAATAAGGATACATTTTTCCTATAACGTTGACAAAGGTAGTACATCCGCCATCTTGTTTTATTTTGTTTCGAAGATATTACGCATCATTATTAATCGAAGGTTCATGGCAATCCTATACAGAACCTCTCAGTCAGCGCCATTTTGCCATCTGCTCACTTCGCATCCCATCTCACCAATATTTCAATATTTTTCCTTTGTGATTAGGCAAGTTAATAATCAATCTTTTTCCCCTCCAGAATCTTACAATATTCTATAAAGTACCTTTCAACTTCATTTATTTATTACGTGGAATATTTCGTCAATATTCAATGAAGTCAAACACTTCATTGAATTATGACTGCAAATAATAATAATAATAAGACTTCAAAGGAAGTCAAATGTATTTGTTGGTGCAAATGGTGAGAAAGCAAAACAGAATTATTGCGCCAAAGACTCGAACACGTGAAAAGACTTCTCCCCATATCTCCACGTACTCCCCATATCACCACGTACCCCATATCACCATCTCCCCATATCACCACGTACTTTAGTATAACTGGAAGCACATTCTGTTAGCAGTAGGAAGGTCCAAAGTTCGAATCTGGAAAGGGCACTCCTGATTTTTCCTGTTTCCTAATTCGAAATAAACCTAACGACTCTGCACATGTATATAATGAATGATTTTTAGGCTGTTTGGGAAAACGTGGGGGATCAAAATAACTCCTCTAATGGCTTCGGAAATCAAAATAAAAATTCGGAAGAATTTTAGAATGTAGGCGTAGCATAAAAATAAACATCTAAAATAATTAATTAAATAATACTTTTTAATCTCTATTGTTGCTTAAAATAATGTGAAGTAATTGTTTTTTCAATGAGAAAATGTCTGTATGTTTGTACGTAAATACTCAGAGTGGGACAGAAATGATGACCACAACTCAAAGTGTGACAGAATTGATGACCACAACTCAAAGTGTGACAGAATTGATGACCACAACTTTAAAGGGTAATTAGAATATCGCAAAAGTTAAGCTTTTCGCAGTAGAGTAAGCGCTGGAATGTGAAATGTGAACTTGGAAACCCATCAAGTACGAAGAAAAGAGAACGAAAAGTTTTAATCATGAACAAGCTAAGGATCATAGGAAAGACCGTTTGATACTAATGATAATTGATCAAATGAATGACCATAAATTGCAATTCATGCGTAACAACTAGTAAGAATTGATTGGCATATAGTTTAGAACACAATTTCTCAAGCTATGGTACATATACCATTAATGGTACATTGCATCACTTTTGGTGCGCAATTTTAAACAAGAGATTTAAACGAAAGCTCAAAATGAACTCAAACGGGAGCTCTTTTAACATTTTAATTTTAATCTTCACTATTCAGATACATAGAGGGTGGTCATAAAATCTTTTCTGATATATGCCTATCCGATCAACCAATCGAAATGGTATATCAGACATTGTTGTTTAAAGATATGCGCTCGAGATTGCGATGATTTAAAACAATAGAGCTCTTACGGTTACGGTTACAGAGGAAAAATTTCGAAATTTTCGACTGGCGACACCCACTTTTTTCCTGAACAAATTGATTAGCTCATTGAGAAACCATAAATGTCATTGGAAAAATACACGTTTGTCGAAAACTACCAGCTTAAAACATTTGCAAAAAATCTGATGTGTACACCACATGACTTCTTTGTATTGGAATATTAAATTATACGCATTTTTTCTTGCATTTCATATAAACTTATTGGATTGAATTAAATCTACTTCGCCGACAGCGCATAAACCACAATAGAATAAATGCATTCTTTAAAATTCACTTTAGTATTTGTTTACCATAGCGACACTCTGGCGGTAAATTCACTTAACAGTATTAAAAATTATATAACAGTTAACTTATATAATAATTTTATAACGGAAACTAAGTTAACTGTTATATAATCCAATAATTATATAACAGTTAACTTATATATTCGTTCATATTATAACTCATATGCCAAAATTTATATCATTTAAGAATAGAATTATCTAATCGTGCCACATGTTCTATTCAAATACTATAATAAAGCTAGAAGATGTATAAAAGAAATTAAGCAAACAAAACAAAAAAGAAAAGTTTTTCACAGCGATTGAGTATTGCTCATTTATTAATTCAGCTCTCACTTCGCGAGAAGGCAAAAATACAAAAAACTCAAATATCTATATTAAAAACGAAGTAAATCTAAACCTTATTTCCTCGAAAAATTCCAGAAAGGATAAGCATGATTTAAGTAATAAATGAAGGCGTTATCTTTGTGTTGCGAAGCTAAGTTTCTCTAGATTGCAACAATCCACTAACTCTGTTTCAAATGTAAACATCAATGGCCGCCATATAAAAAGGCCTAGCGGCACTTAGACAACTTTAAATTGTTGATAATTCTAAAAATATTGCTACAGATTACTAAAGGCATAAAACCTAACCGAAGATAAGAACAACATAATACTATCATTTTTAACAAAAAATGCACAATTTCAAACATATAAGAGTAAAGAAACGAGATCACTGAGCCGGGTAACAGTGGATATATATAAAATATATTTATATACGTTTTGGTGCGGCCGATTGCACCAAAATACGAGGTGCACATCTGCATGTTATAGCAGTCCTATATACAAAATTTCAACGTTTGAGGCTACTCGTTTTTGAGTTATGCGAGATACCGTACGTACGTACGTACATACGTTCGTACAGACGCCACGAAAAATTCTCTTCAATTAAAGCAGTTTTATAATTTTTTTGAAGGAAAAGAGTATTTTATTCTGTCCTTACGTCAGATATCACGCAAAAACATCGTTAAATGCATTCAATAGCGGTCAAAATGGATATTTTCGTTGAAATATGCTGCCTGAAACTTTTCGCGATTACAATACTTCCTTTTTACTTCGTACAAGGAAGTAAAAAGAGCTTTGACCAATAACAACCAAGACAGGAGAAGGGAAGAAACTTATAAACTCAATCGTATTTGACAAATGAGATTTGTGGTCGTTGTGAGGTCTGTAGTCAGTTGTTGGTCGTTCGTTTGAGCAATTCTTGTAAATATCAGACAATATTTCGTGTAAATATTCGCGAATAAAACGAGTTTTCGTTTTGCATAAAATTCATTCTTACTATGCTTCCGCGTTCCCATTTCACATTCTACCCCCTCTTAGTATTACGGAAATTGTTACATTTTCCCTGTTGTATCAACCTTAAATTTACGACTATCAATTCTATTTCTCACTGCATATATAAATAGAAAGCCCTTCACGATTACCTTTTTCTTTGACCTTATAAGGTATTTCTTCCGCCTTCTTGACATGCCTTCGTGGTGTGGTGGTCTGCACGCTGGGCGCGTATTCCAGAGGTCCGCGGTTCGATTCCCAGCGAAGGCTTTGCTAATTTTTCATCTTGCCTGCTTCCAAAAATACCTAATGTCTCTACAACCTTTATTATTAAAGCAGAAAACAAACACTAAAACAAAATTTGGTTCTTTAGCTTCGTATGGATTAAAAATTACCATAATCTGGGCCATGATATATCTAGTTTGCTATTGGTTGTAAATATCATGGCCCAGATTATGGTAATTTTTAATCCATACGAAGCTAAAGAACCAAATTTTGTTTTAGTGTTTGTTTTCTGCTTTAATAATAAAGGTTGTAGAGACATTAGGTATTTTTGCCATGGTATTTACAACCAACAGCAGAGCTTAAATTGTGCCGGAGCATACCGGAGTCTGGCCCTGGTACTTCTTAGTTTTTGGGATAAATTATAATTATAGACGGAGCGCACCGGAGCCCTACATAGCGCACTGGAGCATAGCCGCATCGGAGCATAGCCGCCCTACATAGCCGCACCGGAGCGCACCTGCCCCGGCACTTCTACAGGGGTTGGTCAAAAATATGGAAACACCTTTAAAAAAAACATGTTTCTTTGCTTAATATGGTGTAGGAAACCCGTTGGCATCCAAAACAGCTTGCAGTCTTCTCGAATGGATAAAATACAGTTCCTGTATGTTTTGCCAAGGGAATATTATACCATGCTTCCTGCAAAACGGTGGCAAGTTCAGATAACGATGTTGGCGGTGGATAACTAGAACGCACTTTCCGTTCCAATGTAGACCACAAAGGTTCGATAATATCAGGTCTGGTGAATGTGGTGGCCAGGGAGATGGGACAACTCATCCTCGTGCTCAGAAAACCAGTCCTGGACATGTGTGCTGTGTGAACAGGGGCTTTGTCGTCTTGGAAGACACCATCACCATCGGGGAACAAAGTTTGAACCATGGGATGAACTTGATCGCCAAAATGTTCACATAAGTCTTAGCAGTCATGGCCTGACACAGTTATCATGGGCTAGCAGAGAACCACGATATGCTGCCCAAACCATAACAGAACCCCCGCCATGTTTTTCACTCTTGGCAACAAGCAGTCTGTATTATAGGCTTGAGAGGCGTTCTCCAGACGTAAAATCGACCAGAAGTGGGAAACAATGTGAAAGAAGACTCGTCAGACCATATTACTCGCTTCCACTGCTCTATAGTCCAGGCTTATGACTTAAACATCACCTTTTCCTGTTACGGGCATTAGCATCACTGATGAGTGGTTTCTCAATTGCAGCACGGCCAGCAATTCCTGTTATGAAGCTCCCTTCTAATTGTTTTGGTACTCACAGGGTTCGGTAACAAACTTCATTCAGCAGTAACTTTTGCAGCTTGGTCTCTATTTCGCCACATTGCCCTATGATCGTCTGTCAGATCACTCGGTCACACTTTAGTCCGCGCTGGATTTAGCAGATGATGTTTTTCCGCTTTTCAAAATGCGAGAAATCTCTACAGTACCCTTGAAACACGAAACCCTCAGCTACCTTTTACCTCACCACCATACGTGCCCAACATTTCCACGTTCGAAGTCTGTTTAACTCTCACATATGCAATGCAACCTCACTACAGTACTCTCGACAAACTGAACTGTTTTAGCCATTGACGAAGTGGATAGATGGCGTCAGTAGTCAAACGCCAGCGCCACCTACATATTTCATTAAAATCAATCTTTCTTTTCAAACTGCATTTCACAATGTTTCCATATTTCTGTCCATCCACTGTTGTAATGAACAACAATTCAGTAGAAATCTGATCTCAAAAATTTTTATTTTGGCAATAAAATTACATTAAAATACTTATTAATTTTAATTTACCTCTGTCTTTTCTTAATTTAATTTAATATTTTTTTTAATTATTTTAAAGAACATAATTAATAATTAATTAACAATAAAATTTATTATTCTGGTACTATTTAACTATTTAATTTTTTAATTATTAATGATTTTAATGGTCATTTTATTTATTTATTTACTCTTGTTCCTTTTTCTAGGCGGTCTTGCCTAGGGCTCCGGCACTTCTAATTTCAGAAATTAAGCCTTGACCAGTAGGCTACTATATTTATATTTGGCATGCACTACACGTATGTTAACCGAAAGCAGTTTAATGACTCAAAGGGGGAAAAAAAACTAACATATGAGTCATTTATTTCTATTTCCTAACGAGTTGACTTCACAATTGGGGGCGAAAATAGTTATTACCGTTTACACATCCGGGTAGCAAACTTAATTATTTCCCCAAAAGTAGGTTATTGGATACAAGAAACGATGCAAGACTTCTGCTTTTGTCGCCCAAATGCAATTTAAAAGTCAAGTGTTTCGACGAGGAAAATGTAATATTTGTAACGCTCTACGACTGCGAAAAGCAGTGGGCAGTTTTGCTTATTTTGTTCATAGAAATGCTGCATTGTAATTAGTTTTTTTTGTTGTTCGAAGCCACCTGTCCTGGGAAAGAAGGAATACATTGGAAGAAACAGAACGAGAACAAACTGAAGTAAAGAATAAAAATTTTATCAGATTTCTCGCTAAGGAAAATTTCAAATGAATAATATTAATTTCGATTTCTTTTTTGCATTTGATATACGTACTGTAGTTACTGCCGATGATTTTTGAAAAAACGCAGATTTGTACTGAAGAATACGAAACGTGTACTTTAAATCATTCCCCCCCCCAAATGTTTCAAAGGTATATTTATCAGATGTTTAATACGCAGCATTTCTCCACTCCGTACGTGATTTTTACTTCCTTGTACGAAGTAAAGGAAGTAGTGTATTCGCGAAAAATTTCGAAAATCATATTTAAAAAAAACTTCATTTTGAGCGCTCTTGAATCCATTTGAACGGTGCTTTTGCTTGACATTTATATATATACGGACAAAATTTAGGACGCTTTTTTACAAAACGGACTGTAAAATAGATTTAAAATGGATTCAAAAGAGAATGTATCGTGACGTTTGTACATGCGTACATGTGTATGTATCTCGCATAGCTCGAAAACGAGTAGTTAACCCGCATGCAATAGTTGTATAATTTCAACAATTTGAAGGTTAAATGGTGCTAAGCCTGTAGAGACATCAGGTAAATTTTCGAAGCCAGAGAGATGAAAAATTAGCTACCACCTTCGCCGGGAATCGAACCACGGACCTCTGGATCCGGCCCCACTGCTACCGTTCAAACCCGAAGGACGCTAGGGAAATGGAAAACCTGTATACTCCCTTTTAAGGCGACTATGTTTCAGGAGCCTACCTCCACTCTGGGTGCGGAGAATCATCGAAATATTTCATTTTAAGAATTATCCGCCTGTTGACCTTCCCCTTGGAATGCGTATTGTTATTTTTGCTTTTTTTCTTTTTGCGAGAAAGCATCCTTTCTGGGACCTGAGGAATGGGGTGCTAGTCACCTCGGCGACCGTTCATCCACAACCCTTTTAGTTAGGGCGTCACTTGAGGTCTCGGATTTTTAGAAGCCAAGATGAAATACAACGCTCGCCGGAATCGACCACTGCCTCTAAACCGGCCCAGCGTGCTACCTTTACACCACGAAGGCACGCTAGGGAAATGGGAGAAATACCTTATAAGCCTAACGAGGCCAACATTTGTAACTCTTTTGTAGAATAGTGAATTAAGTCAGGTTGTGCACCAACTTTGATATCTTTTTGCCGAGTGGGACCAAATGTAAACTTTTGAATTTTTTGCTCCGAAAAACCTGTCTTTCCGCCCGATGGTTGAATTGCTTGTTTTTGCGTAGAATTCTAAGTTTAACTGTAAAATTTTTTAAGCAGTTTGTTAAGTGTATTTGGTGTTTTATGCTTTTCTCTGTTTTGCAGTGTTTAATGAAGATCCTTTTAGTTTTTATGCCGCGAAGTAATAATTGAATTAATTGAATGAGAAATATATTTCTAAATGAATTCCAGGAAATAAGTTTAATTAATTAATTAAGCAGCAGAAAATGTGTATAATATAATAGGCCGTTCAAGGAAGGCATGTGTTGCCCACATCAGATATTTTCTATATGCATTTGGACTACAAAATATGTAAAGCAACATAAATTAGAACAACAGTATAGAATAATTTAAAACAAAAAACTTAGATTAGTTTTAAATCAAAGTTTTTCTAACAAATTTTACTATTTTAAAAAATACGGAGACTCACTATTTCGGAAGTAATAATCTATTGTTATTCAATCAGTATAATTGCATACAGGTTAACTCTACGTATTTGCAATCTTCAAGATCGACTAATATAAATGTTGATAATGTCGTAATATATAACATAAATAAAAAAAAATTAGACTTGCACTGCATATCGTTAATCTTGATAATCTAGATTAATAACAGTATGTAACATCAATACTGATGGCAGCAAATGGCAAAAGATTATTACTGTGCAGTATTAAACTATAGGTAGTTCTAAATATATGCGATTAACATTATGTAAATTAATGTAAAGAACATGCAGTGTATGTAAATCTTTTCCCTTTATTCTAAGGTTTTTATCCAAGCTATTATTATTAAAATTCCATATTGCTCAGAAATGAGAATGTTATTTCCTAATATTCGTTAACTATTACTGATTATTTATAATCGTTTTTAATTTATTTATTTTGTAGCTTTTGTGGACCGCAGACCAGGTTATCACAAACATGACAGATCCCGGAGGGCTTCTGACCATTACAGAAAACCACGAGAAATCAGGAAAGGATTTCGCGAAGGTCGCCTTCTTTATCACGCCTCAGAAGAAGCTCATGATCCTCGTAAAATGTTGCTATTTCATAACCGACCAAGTGAACCTTTGCACGACTTGTATAGAAAAGGTTTCTCCTACTTACACGTTCCCGATTTCCATCGGCAACCGGTTGAAGAGCGCATACCAAGAAGAGATGGGGGCAACCAGTCCATTGATGACATCATTAGTGGCATTATCCACCTGCTAGGTGGTGATGTGCAAGTCACAAGGCCGGAATCTAGGCCATCATCTGTCGTATTTCCCTCGTCTCCTAAACCTGCGAGGATTAATGATAGGGGACCGGCCCATTTCGATTCATATTCCAATCGTAGGGTGCCATCTCCAAGCACGTCAATCTCTTCAGAGATTTTACCCAGTAGCACATCTGTGATAGATAGTGGGGATGGTGCATCCACCACAAATCGTTGGGTTTTTCCTGACGATACGGACGTCAGTTTGATTTTAGGCTTAATAAATCGAACTCAGTCAGACAGTGGGGGTTCTACATCTTCGGCGAATGCCACAACTTCAAGAATTTCATCGACGTTCATTGGTGGAGGTAGCAATGTTTCCTCGGGACATATAGAAGTAGTCGAAATCATTCCCAGCAGGGAATCTGGAGGTCACTACACATTGCCCTCAACTTCTTCACAAGACGAGATTATAGGATCATCAACACATAGTAGTATCCAAATAATGCCTACTGAAGTGTTGACAGAACTAGATAAAAATGGCCACACATTTATAGAAACTGTGGTAACAGCTGAATTAATTAATGCTACTGGAACGCAATCATCAAAGAGCGAAGAAACTGAAAAAGTGACTAAAAGTTTTATAACAGAAACTTCTGTTTTACCCTCTATGAGCGGCATTATAGTTTCAAGTACTTCAAGTACGAATATATTTCCTATAGTATCATCTGACTCAGCTACTGAGTGGTTACCTATTTTAAAACCACCGGAAAGAGGTCCCAACGCTACAGCGATTTATTCTCCTCATCCAGAAGAGCCAGTAATCATAACTCATCAACCAGACAGCTTCGAAATTACAGTTAGTCGTCAAATGTACAGTAATCAATCTGAAACTAAAGTTGTGCCTACTTTTACCAGCTTACAGACACCAGCTGATGTTACATCATCTACTGATATTTCCGTTTCCATTGTTGCTACTCAAGTAGATGTCATATATGGCAGACCGACAATGTCTTCACTTCCACCTCCACCTCCTACTGGAAGACCTCAAGTATATCCTGTAGACATAGCTGAGATTAGGCCATCTCCCAGACCAAATATTTACCAGCGACCGAGGCCTCCCGATCTAGGACCACAAAAATATCCAAACGGACTACGACCTTTACCGATTCCGAGACCAGGGGCTGGATCAATTATGAGAAAACCTCCACAAGTGTACAGACCTCCTCCTCAGGTGCCTGAAATTAGGTAAGTGTAAATTTGAGCTCGTATATATAAAAAATTACCTATAAAAAGTTTTTTTTTAGATTAGCAAGTCTTGATTTTGTTGAAAGTCATTGTTGGCTTTTATTGGCACATCACCACTGTCTTCTTACAATTCAACGATCTCCTAAATATTTAATCTGTATCACACTGATACTTAATTTATATTATTTAAATGTTGTGCTCCTTCACATACTGCATCATGCTTGTCTCCATCTGCATGATGATTTTTCCCAGTTACTATTCTATGTCTTAAATACGTGAATATTTATTCGAAAATAAGACTTCTTTGGGAGATCAAAATGCAAGTGAATATTTTATTAGAGCAGCACTAAATCCAGTTAGGATTAAGGACAATATTTTACTGCTGCTTAGCAATATTGAAACAATGTGGCTATTTTATGTAATATGATAGTTAAATTTCCTCCTCTCGTTCTACAGTTTCGTTTATCAAAATATTTGGATTTAAGACCCAATTTTAAAGGGGAAAAATAGCAGAAAAGAGCGTCTTATTTTTTCAGTAAATACGATACCATATAATGTAATAATAATTATAATAAAAAAAGGTGCCTGTCTCCAATATTGATGCCAGACATGTATCTTCGGTTGCTAAGCTTCTCTGCATTATACTGGGATTTTCATGAAACACTTCTAGCATTGGTAATAGAAATATTTCGCAAATAATAATAATAAAAGAGACTGTAATATTATGCCAAAAGGAGCGTTTTTTTAAAGTTTAGTGTGCTATCTTTATTAAATATCATGATTTTCGCACTTTGTAAAGACGTTAATCATTTTTTGAAAATAGGAGAGATGAAAAATGAGCAACACCTTCGCTGGGAATCGAACCAAGGACTTCTGAAATACGCTCCCAGCGTGCAGAGCACTACACTACGAAGGCATGCCAAGAAGGCGGGAGAAATACCTTATAACTTAAGCCATAACATTCAACAGTATTATCACACACACACAAAACAAAAAGAAATCTCGAGCATAAAATATCCGTGCTTAAGATGCATGCGAAGCTAATATTCATGGAAATCTTTGAAATCATTGAGTTTGTTAGTAAAACATTCGTTAAAGCTTTACAAAATATGAAATAGATAATAAAAGAAATACCAAATTCGCGCTTTCAGATGCCTATATTCTAAAGGAGGACTACGTTATTCAAAATTTGATGTCTCTAGGTATTGTTGATTTTTCACAATGCGAGAAAAATACATACACTCATGCAGATTCTTCATTATTTAATTTCTTTAAATATATTGCAGCGCTGTAATATTTGGTGGCAAAAATTTGAAAAGCGATTCAGACTTTTATAGTGAACCAACGCAAAATGTCAAAACGAAATTAATAGCCCTTCTGAGCTAACGCTGCTTTGGGCTAATAACTTTAAAAATGTACTCATAGTACACAAGTTCCAACCAGTATAATGTTTCTTGTGCTGTGATAACTTAAATATAAATTTTCACACTATTCCATTATAAATTCACAGATGTCTAATACATTTCTCAGATATATAGGGTAACATGTGATCTCATTTGGAACATTTCTGAGAACTAAATTAGAAAAATCTGATGTGTACACCACATGACTTCCTTGTACGGAATATTAAATTATGTGCATTTTTTCTAGCATTTCATTTAAACTTATTGGATTGAATTAAACCTACTTCGCCGACAGCGCATAAACCACAATGCATTCTTTAAAATTCACTTTGTTTACCATAGCGACACTCTGGCGCTAGGTTTACTTAACAGTATTATATTCGTTCATATTATAAGTCGAAGCACAAATTATATCCTTTAAAAAATTATCTACTCGTCCACATGTTCTCTCAAATACTATAATAAAGCTAGAACATGTATAAAAAGAATTAAGCAAAAAACAAAAAGAAACAGTTTTTCACAGCGATTGAGTATTTCTCATTTAATAATTCAGTTCTTCTTCGCGAGAAGGAAAAAATACATAAAACTAAAATATCTATAAAAATTACGAAGAAATCTCAAACGCTTATATCCTCGAAAAAATTCCAGAAAGAATTAAGCATGATTTTAATTGGCATAATAATGAGGCGTTATCTTTGTTGTTGCGAAGCTAATTTTCTCTCGATTGGAACAAATCCACTAGTCTCGTTTCAAATGTACATTAATGGCCGCCATTAAAACAGCTTGCGGCAATTAATCAACTTTAAAATTCTGATAATTCTAAAATATTGCACACAGATTTACTAAAGGCATAAAAACCTTACCGAAAGATAAGAACAAATAATTCAATCTTTTTTAAAGCAAAAAATGTGCAATTACAAACATAAAGGTAAAGAAAGAGATCACTGAGCCGGGTAACAGAGTGTATATATATATAAATTTATAGTTGGCGGCCGATGCAACCAAAATACGAGATTCACATCTACATGTTATAGACCCTATATACAAAATTTCAACGTTCTGAGGCTACTCCTTTTTGAGTTATGCGAGATACGTACGTACATACGTTCGTACAGACGCGACGAAAAATTCTCTTCAGAATTCATTTTAAGCAGTTTTATAATTTTTTTGGAGGAAAAGAGTTTTTATTCTGTCCTTACATACAGATATCACGGAAATACATCGTTAAATTGCATTTGAAAGAGGTCAAAATGGGATATTTTCGTTGAAATATGCTGCCTGAAACTTTTTGCGATTACAATACTTCCTTTTTACTTCGTACAAGGAAATAAAAATTTGTATTAAACATCATCGAAAGTTATATTCTCTAAAGCGGTAGCCTTAAAAACTCTGTTCTATTCGAAACTATGAAGAAACCCTGTTCGAGTCAAAATAAAATTTTGACATATGTGAAAGAGAATGAAGTGCAGTGTTTTGTGAAACTAAACTGTTTTGTAATGTAAAATGATTACATTTAGACTACAGACAGCTTTAAAAATTGTGACATGTAGCACATTTTTTAATTGAAGAAAACTATAAACGTTTCAATGCCATTCGAAACAACGTATTTAAGTGAAAACTCTTTCTTAACGAATGTGTCAACAAGAACAAAATATAAAAACAAATTAAATGCAGAATATGAAATGCGACTGCAGATAACATCAGTACAACTAGATTTTTGACAGTATGCGGGGAAAAGAAATGCAAGCACACCCCAATCACTAGAGTCACACCCAGTCACACTATTCATTGCGTGCCGGGCTTTTGCATGTAGATTATTGTGAAAAATATTGATCAATATAATTTTTTAATGGATACCTTATTTACAAAATCTTATAGAATTTATGTACTAGAAAACAGTGGCAGATTTCGATATTGGCTGAAATCTACTCGTAATATTATTTGCATAAATTATGATTAATATTATATTAGATTATGACTTTGAGGTTGTAGGGTTTATATTTATTTTAACTAACATTTATTTTAAGTTTAAGCTACATTTCCCGTCAAGCCTTTACTTTCCCTTAAAATTGCCAATGCCAGAGTATGTAAATTGTAGTAGAACGCGCAGAGTATTCAATTTAACAGAAGTAAATTGAGTTTAACAGAAGGGAAACTTGTAAGTGTGCTTCTGAATCGCGAGCGTGAAGGTTGCTAGTAGAAATTTAAGAACCGTGCCTTTCGGCCTGTTTGGCTATCTCCGGCAGTTCATTGAATCTTTCACTCTTAATCAGTAAGTTTGCTGATCTCAGCTGTATCTTAGAACGCGGTTAAATTAGTTACGATTATAGAGCCTCGTAGTAGTGATCTCGTATTTATTCATCCTGTCTTTATTTTTAGTTGTACTTTTCTTTTTGTTAAAACCGCCGGGTCGGCGTAGTTTGTGAGCGTCAAGTGAACGCATCTGTGATTTCTAAAGTGGAATAAAAAAGGGATTTAAACCCTTCTTACGAGCTTGTGTAATTTGCAGTTCAAAGCAGTCACTACCCCTGTTGCTGACAAGTTGGGGCCTCGCAACATTATAAGGTTATAAAACTTTATATTTATAATGTATTTTTATATTATTAATTTATTCATTAAAATTCATAAATAACTTGAAGAAATAAAGTAAATTTATAAATTGATTGAAGAATAGGAAATTTATAAATTATCTGAAGAAATACATGAAATTTATAAATTACTCGTCTGAAAACTCTTTTGGCATACCATTTGTAACAAAATTATAAGTAAAGCCACTACTAAATGACAAAATAATATAATTAAATGACAGTTAAAGGGAAAGACCTCGAATTATTGTACTTGATTTATTAACCGACTCTCAGTGCAAATTAAAAATAACTTCAAATATCACACACCGGGAAATTGAATATCTTGGAATTTTTCTTCATACGAGTAGGGAGTTAAACTTTTCGGGTTTTATTTTTTATAATAAGAACGAAATTTTCCTAAATATAGATATAGGGAGGATTGCCTAAAAAGTTAGATTTCGTATTTTATGCAATTTTCTGTTTCTTTTACTTGTTTGTACGAAGAAAGTAAAAGCGCTGTAATCATAAAAAATTCTGGGTATCCTATTTCAACGGAAATATCCATTTTGACCGTTCCCGAATTCATTTGGACGATGTTTTTGCGTGACGTCTGTACGTAAGGACAGAATAAAGGACTCTTTTTTTTCTTTCTAAAACGGATTTAAAATGGATTCAAAAGAGAATTTTTCGGGATATAACTCAAAAATGATTAGATGTAGAACCTTGAAATTTTGTATATGGGACTGCTATAACATCTAGTTTTGCACCTCGCTTTGTTATTGTAATCGGCATTACCAAAAGTGTATATTATATATATATATATATATATATATATACTATATATATATTATAAGCTAGGTTGTAAGTACAATACTAAAAAGACCAATTTTGGTCAAGATCTTTTGCGCAATATGCTGCAAAATTAAGGAAATGAGAAGAGAAATTGTAGTTAGCTCGCCTAAACGTTACCAGGAGCTGTAGCTCAAAGAAAAAGTTCAACACAGTTTTTAAAAAAAAAACAAAAAACAATGACATTGAATGAGGTGAAATATGCGAAATATTTACTACATGCGAAATAAAAAGTAAATTATAAAACACAGTAAAATACTAATCGTTGGAAACAAGTTAAAGGCAAAAAATAAAACACAGTATAAAACCAATCGATGGAACAAGTTAAAATATATAAAAAAAAAAAAGTTAAAACATATAAAAATTAAAAAGCGAAAAATGGTAAATTAGCTCAATTCGAGGTCCACCCTTGCTTTTCAAGGGAAATTTCTGGCTGAACGTCGAACCAAGCTAACTCCATTACGCGTTTCGCCGAAACAGACAATTGAAACTTTGCGTCACGAAAATTTTTTAATTAATTAAATAAACTGTATTAAAAAAATTTTTTTTAGTCTCAATTCTCTGTTCCAATTTCCCGACGCGTCCGCACAAATTGACACATTAAGGTGTAAAAAGTGTAAATGCAACTCCGATGTACAGCAATAATAAAAATAAAAATAAAAATAAATGAAAGAAATAGCGGTCTGCTATTAGTCAAAATATACAATAACGTACGGGCTGGACCTGCAAGCTTAAAGAATAAAAACTTTATAAACGAATCTGAAATTAAATTTAAAGGAATAAGGAAAAAGTAAAACAACCTACAGTGTGGGTCTTGCTAAGACCAAGAAAAAAACTTTTATAGAAATATTAAAAAACAGACCTGTAGGCAATGCTGTCTTCTCTGGTGAGGAAGAAACCAAAAAGGGGTTGTAATTTCTACTCTGCGCTTTTCATCGCTCTCCAACTTGTCGTGTGACGTAAGGAAGGGGGAAACATTGTCACTGGGCAATAAGCCAATGTCAAGAGAGTGTCCGTTTGGCGGGAAACCTGCCTAAAGCCAAAGGGAGGCGAAAGACGTGGAAAAAGTTCAAAATGGCGTCTGTCAAGTTGTTTTAAGAAGAAGAACTGCTGCAAAAAGTGAAAATGGCTAATTCAGCTAAAATTACTTAACATGGCCACAAAAGTAATATACAGTCATTCCCCTTTACCCGGCTTTAAAGTCCTTACCCGGCCTTTATTTTCGCTATCATTTGTCGTAGTCATTTACTTCGAATTATATAACTGTTGTAAAATGACGAAAATATTCATGTTTTGGCAATGTCAAATTATTTCAAAAATTAATTTTGGACAAACAGCGAAATATAACTTTAAATGCGTCTCTGCTTACTTTGGTTCCCGTACTACGAAAATTGACTGGGATATTTAATTTCAAAATTTTGAGTTTTTGACGTCATCTTGTCTTGATGGATCGGTTAATTCAGCTAGAATAATTCGATAAAATAAATTTAAATGAAGTGCTGCAAAAATGTGTAAAATTTATATAATAGACTGTACAAGGAAGTGTTGTGGTGTCCACAAAAGATTTTTTTTTTTTTTTTTGTACTGTATTTTTCTAAAATTCAGAAAGGTTTTTAATTTCCCAAATCGTTTATTTTTTAACAGTATATATCAAATAGTATTACTAATTTATAACTGCTGTGCATCAATGAAAATTAGAACTTTCAATAGTTATGCAGTCTTAACACGTTGAGCGCCAAGCGTATTTCTTAGGCAATCCCGTTCAGGCCACGCGCGCCGCTTAATAGCGCTGCCATTGTAGGGCCAGAGATTCTTATCGCAGTAGAAGATAGTTTACGTTTGGAACGTGATTCCTATAGGCATTCATTCAACACATTACGCTCCAAGTCTGATTTGTAAATAGTTACATTCTATGCAAAGATATTACGAAGCAGAAAATTAGCATTACTGAAGTCCGGAAAGAATTAGCACTATTCCTTACAAGTTGTGAAAAAGAAGATATTCCATCGAACAGAAATGCAAGAATATCTAAAAAACGACAGCATAAACTCCAAAGAAAACTGAAAAAAAGCCTGTGAAGTACAGAAATATTGTAAATTGTGATCAAAATGCAACTGAAGCTGGTAGAGTAATGGCCAGAAAAAAGACTAAGACAGTTGTTACAATTTGTAATAGCTGTAATGGAGAACCGTTTTTATACTTACCGTGTTTCAATGAAATCCATTAGTTCTGTAATGAATCAAAATTAAGTAAATTTTAAATAATTTTTCTGTAATTCCATAAGACAGTGTAAATTGTATAGTTATATTTCATGTTACACGCTGTCAGCCAGCGGCGGTCGACGCGGGCCTAAACGGAAAGTCTAGCGTCAGCCACAGATGGCTGACGCGGGCCTAAACGAAAAGTCTAGCGTCAGCCACAGATGGCTGACGCGGGCCTAAACGAAAAGTCTAGCGTCAGCCACAGATGGCTGACGCGGCCTAAACGGAAAGTCTAGTGTCAGTCACAGATGGCTGACGCGGCCTAAACGGAAAGTCTAGTGTCAGCCACAGATGGCTGACGCGGCCTAAACGGAAAGTCTAGCGTCAGCCACAGATGGCTGACGCGGCCTAAACGGAAAGTCTAGGTCACCACACTGACGGCCTAAACGGAAAGTCTAGTGTCAGCCACAGATGGCTGATGTGGCCTAAACGAAAAGTCTAGTGTCAGCCAAGTGGCTCCTAACGGAAAGTCTAGTATCAGCCACAGATGGCTGACGCGGCCTAAACGGAAAGTCTAGTGTCAGCCACAGGTGACGCGGCTAAACGGCTAGTGTCAGCCACAGATGGCTGATGCGGCCTAAACGGAAAGTCTAGCGTCAGCCACAGATGGCTGACGCGGCCTAAACGGAAAGTCTAGTGTCAGCCACAGATGGCTGATGTGGCCTAAACGAAAAGTCTAGTGTCAGCCACAGATGGCTGACGAGGCCTAAACGGAAAGTCTAGTGTCAGCCACAGATGGCTGACGCGGCCTAAACGGAAAGTCTAGCGTCAGCCACAGATGGCTGACGCGGCCTAAACGGAAATTCTAGTGTCAGCCACAGATGGCTGACATGGCGCTCAACGTGTTAAATATATTTACATTCATAGATATAATAAGAAAAAAATGAAATATTGCTGTACTAATTTATATATATGTTTTTTCTATTTTTCAAGAATCGATACTTGTGTTGTGGGTGACGACTCTACCTGTGATATGCAACTAAAAGAGCACTGCCGGACAGAGCGAGGAGTTAGCTCTTGTTTGTGTCGTCCAGGATATGGAAGGGTGCTGGAAAGAAGTTTATGCTCTCGTAAGAAAAATATTTTCTTCTGCTTTGTGCAAACCGCAGATAAAGAAATTTAAAATATTCCTCTTTTAGAGTACGCATTGTAATAAACATCAAAATGCAAGTAAATGTTTTTAGTCTGTACTCAATTTAAAAGAAATTTTGTCTTAACGCTTTTCTGAAACTTTTGAAAAGTTAAGAAAGTTTTCTTAATTTCTTTCAGTTTAAATCGATTGGTTGATTTAAATATGAATATTTCGAACTTTTCAAAATAAACAACAGTCTGAAATATTTAATATTTAGCTGACATTATATTTGAATTATAAAGTATAACCAACAGAAATATTTTGCATGTACCAAATTTAAATTTCAGACAGAAAATAAATGCAAGTTTAATTTTTTTTCCTGTTTAATTTTTCAAAGCATACATAATTGCTTATGTATGCTTTGAAAAATACTTATTAAACGGAATTTTAAATTTATTTAAGATATTTTTTTTATTTTGTTAATAAAAAATGTTTAATTTTGTTTTAAAACATTCTGGCCCTTCAACCGTGTTCAGGTCATGTATGCGGTCCGCGGGAAATTTCAGTTTGAAACCACTGATTTAAGCAATGAAAATATGGCTGTGCATTCATTTTACAAGTTCGCTTCTGCATAAGATTCCAACAACTACTTCTCTTAAACGGCAGTAGTTTTTATTATGAGAAGACAAGAAAGACACTTATTAAAAAACATTAAACCTCTCGAAGAGGTTTTCTTTGAAGTGTGTAAAAAGCTGCTTTTTTTGCCACAAATAAACTTCTGTTTCTTTATTTAAAAAAAAAGTGCTGTCATCTTTGAATTATCTCTAAACTACTTTTTCAGATGTATTTTAAAACACACGTTTTTTGCGCTTGCTTTAAAAGCGAACAAAAGTTCACGTTGTAGAGACATTAGGTATTTTGGAAGCAGAAGACGTGAAAAATGAGCAGCGCCTTCTCCGGGAATCGAACCACGGACCTCTGGAATATGCGCCTAGCATGCTGATCACTACACTACGAAGGCATGCTAGGAAGGTGGGAGAAATACCTTATAACGTTAAGAACGGTAGTTTTGATTCTTACTTTATTGGTACTTAACTGTTTCAGCTGGAGTTTTATTAAAATTTAAATATTTTTTTTTCTGTTCAATGGGAAGTATTTTATTCACTAATTGCAAATATTAGTTACGACTTCGAACCGTCAGTGTTCGCTTTGTCGCTAAGTCCAAATTTCCCAAAGCTGCTATGAGAAGGTGGTATTTTCTTGATATCAAAATGCCCATGTTACTTTAGGAATGGGTTTAAGTTCTGTTAAAATGTTCCCTTAGTTTCTTTGACACATTTTAAGATGTAGGTTTATGTATTTTCATAAAGACGACATAAAAAATATTCTAGCCCGTATGTATACGTCCATATTGGTCAGAAGGCGAGTTTATACGGAACCTATGTGATTCAAACTAAGTTTTGGCTCCACGTAGACAATCAAGCGACTTATCGCAACATTTTAGTTTTCCAGAGAAATAATTGCGAACTCAAAAGAAGGTTTGAAATAAATTTCTTTTTTATAACGTAAACTTAATAATAAACTAGAAAGCTTGTGTGTTAGAAAATAAGTTACCGCAGCTTGCGGTACTTAAAACCTTCTAAGCGGCAAGGCCGTATATATACGGGCTAGAATATTTATTATAATATCTGTAAGAACGTATATATACGTGCATATTAAAATATGCCAACGAAATTAAGGCAATATATCAAAAGAAAACAAATCCAAGTATGAAATACCAGGAGAGGTTTTGCATTAAAATAAAAAAAGTAATTTGTTCTCATAGTAGTTTTGGGAAATTCGTGCTTTCTTAGCTAAACCCTGGCCGCCCAGAGGGTTAATCTAACACAAAGGTAAGTAATTCAAAATATGCGAGTCACACTCCAAAGTCCTACTCCAAACATTATCTCCAGCTCTCTCTAATCACGACAGCGATTACAGCTAGCAAAGTATTAAAGCCAAATTAAGAGCTGCTAGTATAGAGAAGTTAAGAAATTACTGCTAAAAGTTCTCTCTTAACTCCAAGAACTCTGTTATTATATATATTAACGAAGCAGGAATGTTAATGTTATTTGAGTCTGGCGACTGTCCTCAGGATTCACATGAAGCCGTAGAGCTGTTTACAAGGGAAACATTCTGCTTATTGTGTGTAACAAACGTTTGGCATATGAGTAGAAACCTGATTACTTTGTCTCTTGAAATAAACTCAATTAAGTACATAAGCCGAAGCCATTCAAGATTCGCAGTTGGCGAGCGGTCTTTACCAACAAGCCACGGAATCACTTACAAGGTTTCGGCCATGATGAACTTAATGACCTCAGAAGGTTCCTTTCATGATCTGCAGGAGATTCTTTTTCTTCTTCCTTATCGATTTCAAGAGAACTTTCGGATGGATGAAAGCTTTTGTTATAGCAATTTATGCTTCTGGATTTTGTAGAATAGAATAATACGACAAACAATCGACAGCCTAATCTTCCAACGCAAAATTGAGAAACCGGTTTTGACTCTGTGCCAGTGTCGACCTTGTCTTTGTACCTCTCGAAATAACAATTTAACCCAAGTTTCTCGCTATTGATTATGTGCTTTTGCTCTTTACAGTCGTAGCCTACATTAAACATTATCCGTTTCATGCCATTGTCTTTTTTACAGCATGTCCATGGTATGCTGGTGTTGACCGTACGCAGTGTCGATCATACGCCTGCGACAACTCTGTGTAGGTGACTAACAAGCATCAATCCTCTTACTCATTATTACACCATCATCAGAATTCAGTTATTTTTATTTTATCATGTTGATTGCATGTCAGTAAACAGTCCCGTGTTGGTGTCGTTTCAGCGTCGTGTTTGTCCTATCGAGCCTATGCATTGTCGACCTTATGAATGTAAGCGTAGTTTTGTGAATATAAGTGCTCAAAGGTTAATTGCTGGCAGGTACCTTTCGAAGTATGGTCTGTTGCTTTGTGTTGATGAAGTTTCACACTTTGAAAGTCAGGATAAAAAAAATGGAAAAAACGGATGTTAAAATTTCTGAGAGTACGCTGAGTTGATTTTAACATTTTTTTGCTACTCTTCTTAATTTTAATTTTTATCGTAAGAGAATCGTGCGCCAGTCATAAACCCTTTACTGAAACTTTCTTTGTATTGATGAAACCAGGTTTATACACTTTTTTCCATTTGTTCTCGATAATAAATAAACTTTTTTTTTATTGCCGTCGTATTGGTAAACTCATGCTTCATCAAGGATCATATTGTTGCGTTTTTTTTCTTTTCTGACACCAGTTGTTACGTTATTTTCTTCCTTCACGTTCGTACGGGGTTTGTAGATTTAGAGTGAATAACGGCGACACTTGTTGAAGTATCGAAACACACTTTATTTAGCCAATATTAATCAGGACAGCTCCAAAGTCACTTTTTACAGTCGTCGAAGATCTCCTATAAACACGCTGAAACTCAGCGACACAGCCTTCAGGTTATCAGGCTATGACCGTGGAGGCAGCTTCACTGCAAAGCACCAATGTACAGCTCCCCCGACTCTGCTCTGTCATTCTCGGAACTCCATGTACTTTGGAGACTCTCCAGGCTACAACTCGCGATGCACTCGATGATACACTAGAGTACAGCTCCCGACTCCTTCGGTTCAGTCGTTCCTGAAGCTCAACACGCTCTCTCGACGATGCACTAGCCGCGATACACTAAGAGACTTCTTCGGTGAACTTGACGACCAACTCGGCACTCCCGGCTGTCAACTCGGATCGACTCCGCAGGGATTGACTCGCTAGACGAGGCACCAACTCGATACTGACCATCTCACACTCTATGCGAGGCACACACTGAACTCGCCCTCTCGAAGAGGTAAACTAACTGACTGCGGACCAGCTGGGTTTATATAGCTTTCGGCTTGTGTTCGAGAACATTCTGGACTAAACCGGTAAGATTTCGTTTCAGAAGGTTCTCCAACCGTCCATGGTACATCGCCAATTTTATCGCCAAATGGACGATTTCTCGCCAAATGGGTCAACCCTGTATTCCCGTGCCATTTTATGGCAACCCTAAAACTGCTTTGCGGGGAAGCTATCTCACCGCGCCTGTACATTTCGTAACAATATATTTCTATCTACTTCCTGCTAAATAATTTTCATACAGAGTTCTGCAAATTGTTCTGCTTTGAGTCACATGCCTCGACGAAAGCGGGTGAACATTATATGTTTTAGCTTTTTTATCATGTAAATCTTGCTTTGTCGTTTTACTTATTGTTGATGCACATACATTTAAAGACTTTGCAACTGATTTCTGCTTCGGCGGTTTTTCTCTTGTAGCCAACGATTTAACTTTAGAAATATTAGGTATCCTTCAATTCAAAGCGACATTTTGAAGGAAGAAAGAATTTAAAAGTAACAGACGGTGTTTCTCATTTCTAATAATAAGCCAATTCTGTATCGAAATCTTTATAAAAACGAGTAAACACCATCTGTAGCAGTGACAGGTATTCTTAAAGGAAAAAAAGTATTATTCATTATATTATGCCCGCTGAAAATTATTTGAGCAAGAGAAAGTTTCATTTTTTTTCCTGTTACTTCTGTCTCAGTTATTCTTTCAAGTAACATTTATTTAAGCTTTCTGTGAATATTCCTTCTTTCCAAATGTTTAATTTCTTTTCAATCTTCCTAAAGATGTGTATTTTTATGAGTGTTTATTAATTAATTCTCTTTTTTCTTTTTCAGCTGTCGTTTCGATGCTGCTAACTCTGAAGGTTGCAAAACTCGGAGATAAAAACATTGATCCTTCCCATTTTGTGCCTGGGACACCGGAATTCCAGAGGCTCAATTACGAAGCTAGTCATGCGGTAAAATACCGAAGATTATTCTTTTTTTTTTTTTTTTTTTTTGTTTCCAGGTCTTCACATTAACCGCGGCGCTTAGCAGTATGGTAAATCATTAAGACTCAACATAATAATTATTTCGTAGAGTGGCATTACGGAGGCTATCAAAACACTGATTAAATATGCGTAAAATATACGTGACAGCATAAAAAATAAATTAAAATGTTTCTTTTTAATACTATTTCTTAATTTCAAAAATAAAAGAGTTCGTCGAATTCTTGAAAATGATAATTAAATGAAATTTTTTTCAGAAGCATTTCTTTAGAAAGATTCTGTTGCACAACTGATTTCCTTTTGTTCTTTAAGATAAAAAAGAAATAAAGAACTCAAAATTTTTGGATAGTATTGCAAAACTTTCACCATGTTTTGAACCAGTATTACAGTGGAGTAATTTTTACTCAAGCTCAATAACTTCAGTATATCGATCAAAAATTTAAATATGGTTGGCGAGTAAGGTGACATCAATTAATGTAGTTTCATCAAAAATTTTAGTTCCTATGTATTGGACATTAATCAATGTATCTATTTTGTACTTTGACATTATTTTGAAGCAGTTTTATACTTCCGAGTTACTTGAAATAATTTTCTTAATTTCTTCTTTCTATTTTAACCCGGGAGCACACGCGGCGGTATGTCATACCCATGTGCACTTTTCTTTTTGTATATTTCTCGCCCATTATTTCATAAAAGGACGAAACTTGGTGTAGCTGAGTTCAAGGTCACATACTTAAATGGGGGAAATTCCTGAGGTGGCAAGTGCAACGGTTTTTTAGGACCAGCATGTCATACCCGCGCGTGTTCGGGCATGTCATACCCGCGCGTGTACTGGCGTTTCTCAATGAGTCACTTCGCATTTCTCGTTTTCAAGCTTTTAGTATAAGTTTTTCTTGAGCTGTAAGCATGGCGCCGTATATTCCTTACGATGAAGAGATGAAAAGATTGAAAAATCTCCTTGAAACCGTTTCTTCTGATGAGGATTCATTTAGTGACGAAGAGGAAGATGTTGATGACAAAGAATATAATTAGTAATCATGATTCATCCATATAGAGTAGTGATTCAGATACAGAAACAGAAAATGAAATTCTGGAATGTAGCAATGAGTTTTATGTTGGGAAAAAATGAGAGTAAAATGGAACAAACAATAATTTCCGGACTAATGTTAGAATTGGCGCCAAAAATATTATAGCTAAACTCCCTGGAAATACAAAGTATTCTAAAGACGTCTCAACACCATTTAGCGAGTCCTTGTCATTGCTTATCGATGAAGATGTATGTTAAAACATGTAGTTGACAATACAAATATTTATATTGATTCAATACGAGAAAATTTCACTCGTGAACGGGATGAGTACTTTTCTCAAAGCCTTAGGGATGCAGCTGATAGAAAATGTTCATTGACCACCGATGAACATGTTAACAATGAACTGTCCCCCAAAAACCTAAAATGACTTACAAGAGGTGTACAGAGTGCCCCCCCCCAAAAAAAGATAGAAAGAATAGATTCATTTGTGAAAATTGTAGCAAAAGTATATGTATTTAACATATGACCTCATTTTGTAAACAATGTTCAAAAAATTGTAAGTAAATAATTTTTCCTGTCCTTATTGAAAAAAAAAAAAAAAAAAAAAAGAAAAAAAAAAAAAAAAAAAAAAAAAAAAAAAAAAAAAAAAAATTTCCTATTTCTGTCTAAAATGAAGTATTAACTTGGTTTTACATTTAATTTCTTTTAAAAACCGATTAATTTTTTTTGACAAATTTTTAATTACAATTTTTTTATTCGGGTATGACATACCCGGCGCGTGTTCTCGTGTTCGTCGGATCGGTGCGTGTGCTCGCGGGTTAAAAATAATAACATTTCTGGACTGTGCCATTTCTAGATTAATCTATGCTACAGAGCTTGCGTAACGTAGATGACGTTTCAGTTATTGACGTAGTTAGTTCGGAAACCTAAACTCTGAGAACTGAAACCTTTCTCATTTAAACCAAAACCTTTCTCTTAAAACACTGCCATATTGGATAAATGTTCACTTTTAGCTTCACCCTTTCTGCTGCTTGGATGTGTAACGTCTTAAGCTATTTTATCGACCACCACTAAATTCTGAGAAAAAGAATGACCACCTCGAAAGTTTCCACGGAAAGAGTACTTCTTAATGAATTCTCGGAAAGAGGAAGTGACCAGCAGTCACAAAACAATCTCAGGTTTTTGTTCCTCTTATAGTTGTTCGAAGGGAGACATTGTTCCGTTCCCTTTCATCAGTTTATACGTTCAGTGTCTCAGACCACTCGGTTTGAGTCCCCCAGTTAGGAATCCGAAAAGTTCTCACGGACCTTTTTCCCAGGCTGTTCTCATCATATCCAGTTGTTAATGAAAACGCTCTCGCCAATCAAGAGGCGCTTCTAAAAATTACTGACAAATGAGAAACCTGGGATTCGTTTTAGCACGCCCAAAGACAACTTGAATAAAATCATGGAACGAGAGAGAAGAAGAGACTAGACCGTCAATCTTGGAATGCCTGCTATTGTTAGCTGGGCGAGTTCAATATACGCAGGTGAGAGGAATAGAAAGGAAAGGTTCCGGAATAGTTTCCAACGGAAATAATTAGATAGTGGAATGGCTTTCAATGGGTACTAGGGTAAAAAGGGATATGCTCACTGACTTATTTCCGAACCGTGGAAGGAGTTTCACTGCTTATTTTTATCCTCCATGTTTTATTGAACATTTTATTTAAGGACAGATTAATTTTTATCAATTTATGAAACAAAAAAAAATATTTCGTACAGAAATACGTGTTTGCAGTGTAAAATAGTATGCTTATTTAAAATTTGCTTAAAGGCATAACGTTTTGGCGAAATTACATAATTTTGTTTATTCCAACGAAATTTAATATTTATCAGAACTCTTATTACGGTAAAGTAACAGAGTATTGCATGAAGTTACAATACGTAACTGTAAAGTTTTTATTTACTTAAGGTATTGTAGAAAATTGTAACTCTAAAAAAGGGGAGCAGACAATCAATAAGAATAATAAACAATACACTTGCTAACGAAGCGCTAGCTATCCTCACAAAGCAGGAGCCCGTTCATTGTAGGCCCTCAATCCCGGAACCACTGAAATTCCCTATACTCAAAATGCCTTTTCCTTTCTCCTCTTAGCTCATCCCTACTTTCACGTACCATACCTACAAATCTTGGACTCTTCCAGCAAACAATAGAATTCGTTCCAAGATTGAGCGCCTACTGAAGAAGAGTCACCAGAGAGAAGAGTTAATTGCAGTAAGTAGAGAGAGAAACCTTCTCTCGGTTTTTCCAGCTCGGCCACGAGCAAATTTTTGCTTCGCTCTGTGTAGAGCGATACTAATATCTTTGCCAAGAGATTTACAGCAAGGTAGCTGGTTTCGTCGCTACCTTACGAAGAGCATCCTGCTCAGAGACAGCTCAGTCCGGCAACAACCGGCTTAGAGAGTCGATTAATTCTAAATAGTCTTATCTTGAACCTACCCTCAGCTTGAACTATTTCCAAACAAGAACTTTCATCTTGGCTGAGTTCTAAACAGGAACTTTATTCACACCGTCTGGAACTGGTTATATTTCTTTTCCCCTCACCCTACTGTTAGAACAATACTGTATAAGTTTATATATATATATATATTTGGCATATAGCCTAGAAAAAACCCAAATAAATTTATTTACGCTACCTCTTGCCTTTTGAATTCGTTACAGACGCTAAAACCTAATCTAGAATAATTATTTTGTATACCTTTTTGCACTTTTCTGATTTGAATAGTTGACCTGTTTTTGTGAATTTGATTGGTTTTACTTGAGTTCTCTATTGTAAAATGTGCATTTAAGGCAGTATTTTATAGTAATTTTCTTTGACTTATTTTTGAATGAATGTGGTTTTTGGAATTTTTCATATATTTTGTACTGTATTTCTATCGCGTTGCCAGCAAACCTGATGTAGAGTTTTTATATTACTTGGAGTGGTTTTGTTTTTAAACCAAATTTATGTTTTGTATTGTTATAATATCTCAGGTTCAGTGTATTTTATGATAATATTGTCCAGTTATCAAAGTTATTGGTTCTTAATTCTGAATTCATATGAAAAAATTTTATTTGGCAGTTTATTATTGTCTAGTTTATCTTTATGCATTTTTTTTTAAATTGAATGGTTCTTCTTGAAATGTGAATCTAATTGATATTAATTGTGTATAATACAGTATGGATGTATTATATTTAGTTTGTACCATAGTTTTTATTTAAATTAGTTGGACTCAGTTTTGAAATTGTTTGAATGCTTATAGGTACTACTTGTAACATGCTTTCTTTAGGGTCTTTTATGACTATGTTACTTATGTTCTTGTGTTCTTGAAGGCCTTGTATGCCACTGTAAACTTATTCTGCTTAGTCATAATAAATAGCTTCTGGAGGCAGGGGCTTTAATCCGTGTAAGGCAGACATCATGTCAGCTAGGTAATGGAGCCCCTGTTCTCTGGTTAACAGTCATTAGGAATTTAACATTATAAGATTCTACGTAATAAGAATTCTTCCTCTTCAGAATAGATTTGCGTTCTACGCCAAACAAGATTGCTACGTCTTTTTCTATTTTTCATTACATCTTAGTCGAGGTGGATTAAATTTCATTTTTATTTAAATTGACATTTGTGGCCATAATTCACTTGACACTCTAATCGTACCTATTTAAGAGCATTTACAATTTTGATACTGTTACGATAGGAAGAAAGCATAGTGAAAGAGAGGCTAAGCAGCAACAGAGGTACAAGACAAGTGCGCAGTTATCCACCAGGTTTTGGGTTTAGATTTGAAAAGTTTCAGTTCTGAGAATTTAGGTTAGATTTAACTATATCATCAGCGTTGCGTAAGCTCTGTGGCATAGATTAATCTAGAATTAGTGCAGTCCAGAATGTTACTTTTTTTTTAGAATAGAGAGATGAAACATCCAAATTAAAAATGAGGAATTAAGAGACTGTTACTAAATTAAATTACAAAGCTGATTTATATATTTTTTATCTTACATATTATATATATGTGACATAATATATAAGCTGATGATAGGATAAGATTAATTGATATTTATACTGACACTCGTAACCACATTGCGAATATTGTGGAAACAGAGACTTATGTATAGGTAGTAACATTTATCCTATCAGGTTCAATGTTCCGTCTTACTTTCTTTGGGAACATGCAGGGACCTGACTCGGAACAGGGAGCTTACTAAAGCTATGTTCAATAACTGTGGGAAGTAGACAAGATACACAAGAAGGGTATACAAAACCCTTTATTTTTCACTCTTTACAATAATTTCCGTACTTCGGAATACAGAGACCAACTACTTGTGGTCTGAACGTAAGAATATAAAACTATAACTAAACTCTAACTTAAATTTGGAATAATAAACGTGGAAGATTGGCCTTATATTAACAGGAAGCCGTATGTAGTACAGAGAACTGTTAACACTACAATACGTTTAAAATTATCAAGAGGATTAAACCTCTGGCCTGGAAGGCAACCAGCAACCGAGTAAAACTTCTAAGGTAAGCGGCCTGCTTCGACTGACTCCTTCCTCTCTCTCGCTTGGCAAAAAGCTACAACTTAGTACTTGGCGTTCGCCAGACAAATTTTGCATAAATAAGTTAACGCTTTTAATTCTGGCCGGAAGTAGAAAATAAGAAGTGATAGTAAAGATTTAAAATAAAAATAAACGCTAGTAAAACTTAAGATCCTTACAATCCTTCTTTTCAATAGCAATTAGTAATTGTTAGAAAAATGAGTATGTTTATTTCGACAATGCTGTAGGAAAAAAACTGCAATGTAGATATTTGTCTCTTCAAGAGTCAAATGCTTATATCATCGTTGTTGCCATAAGGATAGAGTAATAATGCGCCATATATTGGAGAAACGAATATCAGCATTCTAGTATTTTCTGGCAAAAGAGAGAATGAGCTTCTCGCATCGAATCATACACAGCAACATTTTATTAATTTTAAATAGTATTTCGTTCTAATTTTGAGAATTGCTCTGCATATGTTCATTTCATACCTGTTTTTGATTTCATGTCATGTATTTCTAGCTCGAATCATGCTTTCAAGTAAGGCAAAGTGGCACTTGTATTGTCTTATATTGGAATTAATAAATATTTCCTGATATTAGCTAAATGTAACTCAAGCAGCATTCAGCTTGTTTGAGCAGTTTGTAATTATTGCTGATGAAATGAATGTATGAAATCTTGTCGAAATAAACAGGGATATCAATGAAAAATATTATCTAAAAGGGAGTAAATTTTACTATATGTTACGTAAATATTCGTTAGCATTAACAATACCAGTATGCATGAGTATGTGCTATTTTCGGAGCTTTCAAGAGAGAAGCTTGTACTAAGAATTGGAGGAGTAAAGTTTAGTGGAAAAACGCTGCGTAAAGCGTCTACAAGTCTTCACTGAAAATAAAAGAAAAATGTGTTAAATTTGCATTCACATTCATTAGCCTATCCAAAAATATGTACGGGAAATATCCAAAAAGATGTTAGTATAGTAGCTTATTGTTAATAATACGTACATTTTCCCACAGGTTTCAACTATATTTACATATAGTCCTCTTGCCGAAGCTTACCGAGGTGCTATGGTCAACCGTATTTATTCAATTGCTAACAGGATGGTTATCAACAGTACCGTCCATTTGGCAGAGTCAGAGATTAGGGGCTCGCTGAGGCACCATGTTGAACATGCTGTCGCATCTGCCATCAATAGAAGAGATAACCGTCTTGGCACCAGTCAGTTGTACGTTAATGGACCACTTAGTGCTCTTGTTGAAGTTGAAGGTAATCCTGAATACGTTAATATATGCGGGTCTTTTCCGTTATGCAACTACCACTCTTTTTGACGCCTATGACCCAACAATAGCACAATATGGGGACCATGTGTGTATATGTATGTATGTGTAAACAAGAATAATTAAACACACACTTGCTATGATAATATCTGAAGAATGGGTGGCAGGTGCATAACAGAAAAGTACCATGTTTGCTTCACCACTTTTTTTTTTTCTAAAATAATTGTTTATTTGGATGTCGTTATGCAGGAACGATAAATATTTTGTGTGTTACAAATGTCTCTGTTGTTAGGAATCACAGTTTTGGGATGAATATTATGTACGCTTGCCACAAAAAATACTGGCACAGCTTTATATCTCCCGTTCTACTGGGCCGATTGACGGAATTTAACTTGCATTTTTCGTGTCTCAGAAGCGCAAATTAGGATGTGTACGAGATTTATACATAGCACTGTTTTAACGTAGGTACATTAACAAACAAAAAATCGGACTTTTTCTGAAATGACATACTGAAATTTTTCCCGTATTCCGATTCTACGATTCAAATTATGCCAAAGTACGAAGTTTGTGAAAATTGCGTAAATTACATTGAAAACAAATTGCCTCTCAAAATTTTTTCTCCTCAGCGTTAACGGAATTCGGTATATATTTATTAATATCTCTTTTTTAATTAGATTTGCTTGATTTCTTCTTTCAGACTTCGAAATTTAGGTTCACTACAAATAAAATTCGCAGATATTTTCTGAATTATATTTTAGCAATATTTACCAATTTTTTTAAAACGTTTTTTAAACTATAACCTATAAAAATTTATCATAACCATAAAGTAAATGTGTTTCTAAGCAAACATTCTAGCAATAGTTCTTTATTCAAAATTTCCCAAGATATACATGAGGCGTTTTGAAATTTAGAATATTAGTTTAAAGCGATAATAACCACAAATGTGTTTACGCACATTGTTGAAATTATTCGAAAGTATTGAACGATACATCTTTCCTCCGCTCGTGAACGATGAAAGGGAAAGGAAAATAGTTTATCCTAAATTAAGAACTTCGCCGAGTGAATAATCCTTGCCACAAACTCAAAACGCTCGCCAATGTAAATTTTTAAATTTCGCTGTAAGTTTCTCTCCAAATTTAACAGAATTTTATATTTTGGCATAACTTTAAATGTAGAATGAAAATATGGAACAAAATCTGTACGTCATTTCACAAAATGTTCGATTTTGAGTCAATATATGTTGTAGAGACATTGAGATATTTTTGGAATCAGAAGAGATGAAAGAAATAGCAACCGCCTTCGCCGGGAATCAAACCACGGACCTCTGGAATACCGGCCCAGCGTGCAGAACCACTACACCACGAAGGCACGCTAGAAGGAGGGAGAAATACCTTATAGACTCCCCTTTTTAAAGGGGGACTGGGATTTTTAGGGGACCCAATCACCAAATCCTGGGTGTGGAGAATCCTCATCCAACATCCTTTTAGTTCGGGCGCCACTGTAGAGTCATTAGGATTTTTTTTTTCGGAAAAGCCGGAGAGATGAAAATTTAGCAACACCTTCGCCGAGAATCGAACCACAGACCTCTGGAATACCGACCCAGCGTGCAGAACCACTACACCACGAAGGCACGCTAGGAAGGAGGGAGAAATACCTTATAGACTTCCCTTTTTAAAGGGCGACTGGAGTATTTAGGGGATCCAATCACCAAATCCTGGGTGTGGAGAATCTTCATCCAACATCCTTTTAGTTCGGGCGCCACTGTAGAGACATTAGGAGTTTTTTATTGGAAAAGCCGGAGAGATGAAAATTTAGCAACCCCTTCGAGGGAATCGAACCACGGATCTCTGGAATACCGGTCCAGCGTGCAGAACCACTACACCACGAAGGCACGCTAGGATAGAGGGAGAGATACCTTATAATGTACTTACGTTAGAAAAGTGGTATATATAAATCTAATATATATTCTAAATCGCGCTTTCAAGATATGAAAAACGCAAATCAAATTTTGTCAATCGGCCCAGTAAAACGGGAGATAGAGAGCTGTCTAATCTTTTTTTTTTTTTTTTTTATTGCAAAGTGTTCTGTACTTTTACGATCAAAGATAAAGTTTTTTAACTTCTTTTTTTTTGTTAATATTTCCAGATGTGAATGAGTGTGGAGACAATAATCTGAACGACTGTTCGGAGCATGCTGTTTGTGATAACCTCTTCGGTACTTTCCAATGCAAATGCAAGCCTGGATATACAGATAAATTTGAAGGGGATCCCAGAAACGCTGGTCGAATCTGCTCTGGTAAAGGAAAAAAGACGTTATTTATTTTTTATTTTACGCCTAGATATAAAGAGACGCAAATATGGATTTAATACTTTCATTTCTTCCGAAAATTTCATTTTCGATTTTTGCGTGATTCAATAAAATTCGATTGTTCATAATAACTATGGCAAAATACAGGGTGGTTATAATTAAAAACCCGTTCTGAACCTCCCGCTGTAGAAAACGTTCTGCTGATCGGATTTAGATGAAACTTGGTATATACGTTATATGAACTATGGGAAAAAGATTTTTGCAAGGAAAAAATAATTCAAATTTTGATCACCAGAAGGCAATTTTCAAAAATTTCTTATGCAAATTAGTCAGACCTATAAAGAAACTTGCAGCCAGAGCCACAGAATCATTCTGCGTGACTTTGTCATCGTTAATCATGCCCATACAGAGAAAGATCGAGCTTTAATGGTAAAACTGTTTTACCAGACCACTGTTTCATGCAAGATTGTACAACTCCCTACATTGAGCGTCAAGTCAAAGAACGGCTTCGTGCTAACTTTGGCGAGAATCGTGTAATATCCAGAGCTTTTCCGGATGCCTAGCCTCTTCGTACACCCGACTTAAATTAAGGGATAATTTAAAGGATTATTAATAAATTAAGGGATTATTTTAATATTTAAGGGATTAAGAAATTATAGGGATAATTTCTGGTTGTGGGGATTCTTAAAAGACCGTGTTTACGGAGGAGGAATTATGACTTTACCCAGAATCGTAGCTAGGGTTTTCAGCACCCAGGGACAACTGAAGATTTCGCGCCCCCTCCTGCTTGCCAAGGATGGTAAACATTTAATTCTAAAATGTCGTAACATCAGTTTGGCGCCATTTGGATTCTGCGCCCGGGGACAGACGCCCCCCTTGCCCCCCTCTAGCTACGCCCCTGAACTCTCCAGCATTACACGCCATCGTGCTGAAAATCTCTCGAAAGTTACTTCCCGCTACCACTGAACACGCTATAATGCGCTTTCAACACGCAATTGTATAACTAAAGTTATACAAAATATAGTGCATCCTAAAAAACGGCTAGACACACACACACAAAAGAAAAAGAAAAAACTTAATAGTGCAAAACAGTGCTCAGACTTGGGACCATTATAGTATCATAGTTTTTTTATCCTTACCAAACATTTTTAATATTTAAATATATATCCATAAATTTAAATAAAAATATCCTAACCTTTTGAAAATATGCCTAAAAAAATTTAATTTAAGATAGTGTGTAAATTTTTATAGGTTGTAGACGAAAAATATTTTCAAAGTGTTTAATAAAATTATTTAAAAGTAATTTTTTTTAAATAAATAAAAAAAGCCTTCATTTTATTTGGCTTAAATTAAATTTCAGATTGGGAACAAAAAATGTAAAGAAAATTTAATTAAAAAACCAATTATATTGGTGTACACCAAATTTTATTAACATTACTAAGCAAACATTTTGAGTGCCAATTTAAAAAAAAATTACTTCCACGATATTTACAAAATTTCTCCATAATTTGAGGCATAGTTGACACAAAACTCGGAGCTACACAAAGCTAAAATAACAAGTCAAAGAACTGCGCACTGCACAAACTCGGTATCCATGTACTGCTAATTTTCACCAAGGGGCACCCGTAAATATATTTTTGCCGGGGGGGGAACTCTTGTAGTTATATTTTTTATAAGAATAAAAAATCGAAATGAATATAACTATAGCAATGGTACTTATAGCTGCAGTCTGCATAAATTTTTCAAAGTGCTTTACCCCATTAGATTTGCATTGAGGGCTTTAAACAAAACAAAACAAGAAAGTTTGGCTACATTTTCAATCCCTAATTCATTGTTCAATTTGTTATATACAACTCCAAAAGTGGAAAAGGCCCACCACGGCCGAGCGGTAAAAGTTGCTAAACACTGGTAGTTCAGTCCGAGGCCCGAATTCCGATGAACGGGCCGGCTGCATAGGCGTTTTCGTGGTTTTCCCCGTGTGTAACGCGTATACGAGTCAGTTTCCCTTAGGAAGTCCTCCACGAAGGCATCCCTCCCCTTAGGCAGATAGTCCTAGTATGCTTTGCCATAATTAAATAAACCAAACCAAACCAATCAACACGTAATTGATGTCAATGGAGCACACACTGAGCACATTCTGTAATTGAATAAATTCGAATGATTCTGACAGATTTTTTGTCCTTCTTTAGGCGTCACAATTCCCCTTGGTGGTCAAAATTCGAACTAATTTTTATTGCAGAAATCATTTTCGCAGGGTCCATATAACATATATACCAAATTTCGTCAAAATTCAATAAGTAGAACGGGTTCTAGAGTGATCTAAAGAGGGTCACTTTAATTATAACCACCCTGTATATCGCAGTGACTAAATTAAAATTCACATGGGCTTAACTAAAATTAACTTACTTTTATTTGTACGCTTTTTCAGTTTTAGTTTAGTTTGAAATTTCAGCTTCAATTTCATCTGGTGATGTGGAGGTGATTCTCGTATATAATTAGAAACACGTTGGTAACCCTTAGAAAGTCTTTCTCGAAGATATCTTTCACGTTAAGCAGATAGCCTTCCTGTATTTTGCCTTAAACTAAGTACCCAATTAGCATAGCCACATAGTTACCTCCCTGGGTTTAAAAAGAAGTATCATAGCGCTTGGATAGTAAAACTTTTATTGCATTTATATCTATCATTACATTTGTGAATTTTTCACATCGAAACTTTTAACAATAGGGGCAGAAAATGTATGCTTTTAAAAGATACAAAAATAGTTATGATTAGATTTTTTTTTTTTACTTTCCACTGCAAACATAAGGAGAAAATACTTAGAAAATATAACAGTTACTTTTTCAGACAGAGAAAACTTCGTTAGTTATCTAAATCGAATGTATTTAATAGAAGTAATGTTTTCCAGAGTTATTTCATACAGTAATAGCGCATGCGTATTAAAACAACAAAAGTAAGGTTATTCACCGTTAAGCTTATGTTATTGTTTGAATTGTAAACAGTTTAAATTTACTTGTTTTTACCTAAATTTCTCTAAAAAATGCTCAGTATTTTTTCACGTGAATTCAACACATGACCTCTCTAGCGAGACCCAGACGAGACCACACCCAGCTGAGTTAACAAAGAACTATTTCTCATTTTAAATATTTTATGCTCGAATAGAACAAGTATACTTATTCGTTACCGTTCCACATTGCTCATTCTATGATAATAATCTATACATTATGAATTCTAAATAAAGCTCTAGAATAGGACTTCTTTAACTTTTTCAATCGCGACTCCTTTTTATCACAAAGATTTTTTTTCGAGACCCCAGATATTAAATATACAATAAAGATATAAAAGTAATTATCCTCCTTATGGTAGTACAATTTTTGAGACAGAATTTGAAATCAGTGAAATTGGCGGTTCAAATACAGCAGACGATACATATATCCCTTAAAATCATAACAGAAATATGTTGGCTCATCGGAATGCGGCACAACGCTTGAAATCACATGTAAAATGTCTTACTTGCATCTCATCTCACACTGGATAACTTACTGTTGCTCAGAATTTTGACATATAAACTCCACAATCGTGCAACATTGAAGGTTGCTATTCGTAATAAATACGGGTCACCGATTAGGGTAGTACAATTTTTGAGACACATCGTTAATAATACTACCAATGGAATAAATTATTTGTTTTTGGTTGCTATGGGTTACCAGACTGGCAGCGTTCAGTTGTAGTAGGCAAGTTGCTAGACTCTCGTAAGTAATTTACTTTTCTGGTAAACAATATACATATAAAAAGAAGTATTTTAGGATTTATTTTATGCAAACAAAAATTAAAGAAAACTCTCGTCAGATGAGATGTGCTCGTTTCCTGCTGCGTAAGAAATTAAACGTTGGTGCAATATTTGACACTGCCATACATAAAGCGTCTTCAACATGTTCAACGTTCAGGGCTTAATTTCTAAGATTAGAAGTGCCGGAGCCCTATGGAAGACCGTCAGCAAAGAGAAACAAGTGTAAATAAATAAATAAATAAAATGACTATTAAACTCATTAATAATTTTAAAATTAAATAATACTTAATTATTATCAAATTAATTATAAATTGTTATTTAATCAATAATTATTATATAATTAATTAATTATAATTTCATTGAGAATTATTAAATAATTAATTATTATTTACTGAAATAATTAAAGATTGAAGTAATTAAAGAGTTAAAATTAAATAAAATGTTAAGAGATAAATTGAAATTTAATAAGCGATTTTTAATATATTTTTATTGTTAAAATAAAATTTTCGAGATAAAATTTCTACAGAAATTGTTATTCAATTACGTAAAAGAAGTGCCGAAGCCTTCTTATTCAGGGCTTCGGTGCTTTCCGCGGCTCTCTGCTCATGTAATTATAGCCATCAAGCAGATGTGTGTCAGGGGTAAAATAAGTCCTGAATCTGACTCCTAAGGATGAATGTAAAGTTGCTGATTACGCTTCCCCCCATTAGTGGATAATGTGGAAAGACGATCTATAGGACGTGCTTGAGCAATTTATCTCAGTATTTCACATTTATCGTACTCGCTGTCACTTAACGCACATTTAATAACACAAATTTTCCTTCCTGCGAGGATAACTAACTGTAAGCATCGATAACAATACACAAGATACGATAGCCATGGCGAGAAATTTGCGCGTTCCTAAACAAACTCCCCCAAATTTATTGTTCTTAAAGGGAATTGCCGAATGGCAGTGCTTTTAGAATTGGCTGAGAATAAAAGCGCAGGCAAGATAAATAAAAAGATATAATATTTCTCTTATTGGCGAGATTTGAAGATTCATAAAAATTTGAAGACTCATAAACAAGTTTTTACAATAACAGAACATACAAGTAAATTATTATAAGACTATTTGTTGTACATTTTATATACAAAAATATAGAAATAACTGACTTCAGTGACATATCATTAAAGTTATGTTTTTGTTTCCCGTTAACTATACTGAAATTTTCTGTATTATGGGATGAATCTTATTTTTTAAGGTGTATTTAGGGATATGATCTTTATACGAAAAGATTGGATAATTTGTATCACTACCAAAATGCTCTACACTATATTTTAGTCAGTTATCACATCAGTTAATTCTCTGTATTGGATAGTGATTCATCCATTCAATATTAGAGTAAAGCTGGTTTTTGGAACGAGACCTTTATTTTAAGAAATCGGGTGGGAGCGAAACCAGAGTTTTTGTATCACCTTTCTTCTATAAATACAGAAATAATAATAATAAAAAAAATCTGATGTGTACACCACATAACTTCCTTCTACGAAATATTAAATTATACGCATTTTTTCTTGCATTTTATTTAAACTTATTAGATTGAATTAACCTACTTTGTCGACAGCGCATAAACCGCAAGAGAATAAATGCATTCTTTAAAATTCACTTTGTTTACCATAGCGACACTCTGGCGCTAGGTTTACTTAACAGTATTATATTTCATTCATATAACTCAGAATGCACAAAATGTATACTATTTAAAGAATTATCTAATCGTTGCCACATGTTCTATTCAAATACTATAATAAAGCTAGAACGATGTATAAAAGAAATTAAGCAAACAAAATAAAAAAGAAACAGTTTTCCACAGACGATTGAGTATTTCTCATTTAATTAATTCAGTTCTCACTTCGCGAGAAGGCAAAAATACATAAAATCTCAAAATATCTATATTAAAAATTACGAAGTAGATCTCAAACGCTTATTTCCTCGAAAAAAAATATCTAGAAAGAATTAAGCATTATTTAATTGGCAATAAAAAATTAATGCGTTATCTTTGTTGTTGCGAAGCTAAGTTTCTCTAGATTGGCAACAAATCCACTAGTCTCCTGTTTCAAATGCAAACATCAATGGCCGCCATTAAAAACAGGCTAGCGGCAATTAAACAACTTTAAAATTGCTGATAATTCTAAAAATATTGCATACAGATTTACTAAAGGCATAAAATCCTTAACCGGAAGATAAATACAACATAATTCAATAATTTTTAAAGCAAAAAATGTACAATTTACAAACATAAGAGTAAAGAAACTGAGATCACTGAGCCGGGTAATAGAGTGGATATATATATAAATATATTTATATACGTTTGGTGCGGCCGATTGCAACCAAAATACGAGGTGCACATCTACATGTTATAGCAGTCCTATATACAAAATTTAACGTTCTGAGGCTACTCGTTTTTGAGTTATGCGAGATACGTACGTACGTACATAAGTTCGTGCAACGCCACGAAACATTCTCTTCAGAATTAATTTTAAAGCAGTTTTATAATTTTTTTGAAGGAAAAGAGTATTTTATTCTGTCCTTACGTACAGATATCACGCAAAAACATCGTTAAATTGCATTCGATAGCAGTCAAAAATGGATATTTTCGTTGAAATATGCTGCCTGAAACTTTTCGCGATTACAATACTTCCTTTTTACTTCGTACAAGGAAGTAAAAATCTGAAAGCTTTCAGATTTTATATTACACATAAAAGGCAGTTTCTTAACGTTTTGTTTGTTACTTTTATTTATTAAATATCATGTTTTTCACACTTAAACTACAAAAAATTCAAATTCAACAGCAATATCGCAAAATATTTAAAAACGGCATATCTTTAGAATTTCCGATAGACAGTCTCGCACGCTGGACATAATTTTTTAATCCGTGCAGTGTTGCCATTGTTCTCTTTGAAACCGTTGAGTTTGTTAATCAAAAATTCGTTAAACCTTTACACAATATGAAATCGACAACAAAACAAATTCGGAATTGAAAATTCGAGCTTCCAGATGCGGATGGTATGGATGTTCGGATGGAGAATTAACTTATTCAAAATTTGATGGCTCTAGGTACCGTAATTTTTTCACATTGCGAGAAACATGCATACATTCCTGCAGATCCTTCATTATTTAATTTATTTAAATATAATACGAGGCTATAATATTTTGTGGCAACAATTTAAAAAGTGATGCGCCGTTTATAGTGAAACGCCGTAAAATGCGTTTCTGAGACTAAGAAGCATTCTCGGCTACCGCCCCTCTGGGCAAACAAAAAAAGTAATTTTAATTATTATATTAAACGTATTTTATTGTGTTAAATTTCAGAGCTAGCTGTATTCTTCTGCATTTTAAAACTGAACTTTTTGTTTCACTCTTTCAGCTTGCTCGCCGGATTACTGCAATGGCAAAGGTCAGTGTGTGGTTGTACAAGGAAGACAAGAGTGCAGGTAAAACCCTGGAATTCTAATGTACATAAGTTTTGTTGAAGTTAGGTAATCAAGATTTCATTCCTTGCCTAATTTTTTAAGGAACTGTACACCTATTATAACATCTTTAACTAAAAAGAATATTATATAAAGTTAAAACTTTGAATGATTGTACTTTAGATATTTAATCTAATTCTAAAATTCTAGATAACGTAGAATTTTATAAACATTTAAAATGTCGATTCTGAATTGCATAAGAAAAGAGAACGGAATTACTTCAGTTGCTGTCAAAATCGAATTAGAAATTTATATGACAGGTAATGTTGGTAAATAAAAGCTAAATGCTAAAATTATGTTTAAAATATGTTGCACTATTAGCCCAAAAGAGACATTAGTCCAGAATGGGATATTAGTCTCAAAGCGGTATTTTGAATTGAAACACTTGAATGCGTTGTATCATTATACATTATAGTATTTAAAGAAATTAAATAATCTGCACGAGTTATGGATGTTTCTTCTATTCTGGAAAAACAACAGCACCTAGAGCCATCAAATTTTGAATACCGCAGTCCTAAGTCGGCAGATTTTTACAACATAAAATAATAATAATAAAAAAAAGTTTTCAGATTCTATATTACGCCCAAAGGGACTTTTTTTAACATTTTGTGTGTTACCTTTATTTATTAAATATCATGTTGTTCGAACTTAAACCATAAAATTCAATTCAACAGCAATATCGTAAAATAATTTTAGAATCTTTGGAATTTCCGATACACAGTTGCCGCTGGAGAAATTCGTTTGATTTAGCTAAAATGTTACTTATACTGGAATGTTTTATACAATTTCTCAAAGCGTTACCTGTTTGCTTGCTGTGTCTTTGATCTACATAGATGGAAAACATTTTAAAAGCAGTTATTATAATTAGATTGCAACAACTGAATTCCTGCAACATTTAAAATAAATTTATTCGCAGTGTGTCTTGTAATAAAATAATCCATTAAAAGAGTTCTTTGGTACTTTTAAGATGGATGCTTGACATAGATACATAGATAGAAAACATTTTGTCTACATAGATGGAAAACATTTTTTTCCAACATAGATGGAAAACATTTTTTTAATCTGCTTTAGATGGAAAATATTTTAAGATTACATAGATAGAAAAGATTTTGTCTACATAGATGGAAAACATTTTTTTCCTACATAGATGGAAAACATTTTTTTAATCTGCTTTAGATGGAAAATATTTAAAAATGCGCTATTGTTATTATAATTTGGTTACAATAACTGAATTTCTGCAACATTTAAACTAAATTTATTCGCAGTGTGTCTAGTAATAAAAAAATCCATTCAAAGTGTTCTTTGGTACTTTTAAGATGGATGCTTTGATTTTTCTACATAGGTGGAAAACATTTTGTCTACATAGATGGAAAACATTTTGTCTACATAGATGGGAAACATTTTTTTCCTACATAGATGGAAAACATTTTTTTAATCTGCTTTAGATGGAAAATATTTTAAAATGCGTTATTGTTATTATAATTTGGTTACAACAACTAAGTTCCTGCAAAATTTAAACAAAATTTATTCGCAGTGTGTCTAGTAATAAAATAATCCATTCAAAGTGTTCTTTGGTACTTTTCAGATGGATGTTTTGATTTTTCTACATAGAAATCATTTTTTCTACATAGATTGTAAGCGATTTTTTTCTACATAGATGGAAAACATTTTTTTTATCTACATTAGATGAAAATATTTTAAAAGGAGCTATTGTTATTACAATTTGATTAAAACAACTTAATTTCTGCAACATTTAAACTAAATTTATTTGCAGTGTGTATGGTAATACAATAATCCATTTAAAGTGTTCTTTGGTGTATTGATTTTTCTATGGAACATAGAATGTTATTTGTTGTAATAACATTAATTATTGGGATGTTTCCGTGAATTTTAAAGAATATTAGAATTACAATAGTCATCTCTTTGTTTAATTTAAGGAAATTTAACTTGACTGTTGTAAATCCTACTAACAGAAACTGCCGCTACTGAATCAAGAGATATTGAGGCATGACGCTATTAAGCTTAGCATTATTGAAAAACTGTTCCTGCATATTCAGATTTTATTCTCTGCAAATAAAATCTTCTTTTAACAGTGGAGTGACAGATATCAAGCGTGACTCCTGGAGAGAAATTCTGCTTGAAAATCAATAAGAGAGACATACGCTCTAAACTGCGATTTTATATATGTGTCAATAAGCAAAATACTTCAGCAACCTCGTTCAGATGACTGTAAGTTATTGAACCGATACAATTTTACAAAAATACTGTTTTTCAACTAGCGAAGCAAAACATATTACATTATGTTGGGGAACGACGGAAAAAAAACTAGGTGAATGTCATTTGATGTTAGAAGAAATGTAGATGTTCCTTAGATCGGTTAAAGGTAAGGAAATAAATAAATAAACAAAAAATAAATAAATAAAAAGCTGAAAGCTTTCAGATTTTAACGATCGGCCGAAAAGATTTGTTAAGGTATTTTAGTCTACCAGTCTGCTGTTGCACTCGCTCCAGCTAACCCATTTCTTTTTGTCTTTTTAGCTTTATTTTTAAGCATCGTTTTCTTCGCACTTGCGCCATATATAGATCAACAGCAAAATTACAAAAACTTTAAAAGCAACATAATAGCATATGTATTGTTAAATGTTGGCATACATTTTTATATTTTGTGCAGACTTTTCTCAGTTAAGTTTTCTTAGTAAGATGGCTAACAAAACGTTTTGTTTGTCTTTTCATTATCAACGTTTGGTGTGTTCAAATCGTTGAGCTTGTTAAACGATAATTCATTAAAATTTTACAAAATATGAAATATAAAATTCGGGCTTCTAGGCGTGCATGTTCGGGTGGAGGACTATGTTGTTCAGAATTTGATGACTCTAGGTACCGTGGCGTCTTTCACAATTCGAAGAATATACATACGTATATGCAGATTTTTTATTATTTAATTTCATTAAAAAATTAGTCATGGCAGTAACATTTGGTGGCAACAGTTTGGAAAGTGATTCGTCGTTTATAGTGAACCGACGCAAAGTGTCATTTCGAAAGAATAAAAATAATCTCTTTTGGTAAAAAATAAAATTAAAAAAATAATGGCATATTGTTTTTATCTCCTGGAAAATCACAGCTATACTTAGATTACTTTCCTGAATGTCGTATAGAGTTAATGCAATTTGTTTTTAATGTTACGCATAAATGAATCATATTTTCCCGTACACGACGAAGGGCCAGTCAGAGTTTTAAATGATTACTGATTTGATATTATGTAAACTCAATGCTATGATTTTGTTGAACAGAGAATTGAACTTGAGGTCTCTCGAGCAGCAGATGTACGCTCAACTTTTACAACTTTAGCTTTATAGAAACACTTAACTTATATTAGTGAAATCTTTATTAATTCCTCCTAAAATATTACAGGATTACAGGATTGTAACAAAAACTATTACAGTTTATGCTTTCGAATAAGTTAGAGAGGTTTTTCTGTCAAAACGCAGCTAGCTTGGCTTATTTGATTATGGCATATCCGCCGAAGGGGATGGATGCCTTCGTGGAGGACTTTCTAAAGGCTGTGTACACCTTACACATAAACAGCAGAAGTTGGCTGCAGTCTAATGGGCTCATATTGAAACCCTAGCTGAAGCATTTGCAGAAAGGGACACTTATAATCTATCGATCCAAAAACCGTCTTGAAATGTTAATGGTAGGAAATGAGGCGAGCAAAATTCTCGGATCCACTCGGAACTTCGGGCTGCTGCTCGACGACCAAATGTGAAGCATCAAAGCGTGGTTAATACTTGGCGTAGAATTCTCATAGAATTTGTTTAATTAAGCCAGTTTTAGTGGTTAATTTTTACTTCATACTTATTGCTTTATAACTTGCGCGTTTTCAGTTCATTATATTGCGTTGATATATTTTGTTAACTAATGCTTAATTTCCTTTTTTTTTTTTTTTTTTTTTTTTTCAGATGTAGGGGAAATTACGGAGGATCAAGATGTCAAGTAGACAATGAAGGTACTTGAATAATGAAAAATCCCTGTTTTATTAATGTTCTTACTTTATGTCTCTTCACTTGTGAATAAATGGATTCTAATTTAAATTATTCTTGAAATGTACCAAGCAATTATAATTACATTTACCTGTCGCACCTCGTTTTTCTATGTAAAGCACAAATCATTCTCTGGAAGAATACATAATTTTTAATAAGTTATATATATATATTCTTAAACGTCCATTGAAAACATTTTTTCGTTAAATTTTCTGCCATTAACTTCGATTTACATTTTTTAACGTATCACAGAGATCAGCAATACCGGAATATACTGAAATATGAAAGTATTTTTGTCCTTTGAAATAAGTCTTTTTTTGGGGGGGGGAGGGTTTGTGAAGTCATTAGGTATTTTTAAAGCAGGAGGCATGAAAAATGTGCACTGCCTTCGCCGGGACTCGATCCTGGATCGCTCGAATACGCACCGAGTGTGCTAACCGTTACATCACGAAGGCGTGCTTGAAGGATGAAGAAAATACCTTACAGTTTAAATAATTTCTTCAAAAAAGTTTGAAGAACAACTTGTCTGATAGTTAAATCAAAAGACTGACAGATATTGACCTGAAACAACAGCAACTACATATAAATAAAATTTTGAAAGTACATATCAGAAAAATGACGTCTAGACAAATCTTTTTGCTCATAAGGCGTCATCGTTTGCAATCCAAAATGCAGTTTGCTGTCAGATTTCACTTTTAGCTTGATGAATGATGGCACTTTGCCAGGAAAAATTTATGCACAGGCTTATGTTATTATTTTTTTCGAAAAATATACTATGTGTATACTAAATATATGATACATTGTAAGGATATATTCAAATTTTAAACTTTTATGAAAGCGAATTTATTTTTCAAGAATGTTTAAATTCCGAGAGAAGTTGTTTTGCAGATGTTTCGTATAGTTAAATAGTAGTTTAATAACAGCGTTCTTCGTAAATGCGCGGAGCATGCAACAGAAATTTTAATAACTAATTTTTACTATCATATTACACAAATTCGTTAAAACTTCTATTATATCTACTACTTATTTATTTACCATCAGATGAACAGCTTTAAGACATTCAGCTTTTATGTTCAACTGGTGGAATCATCTACCAACTGTGTTGTTACGTATGAAATTCAATAAAGTTTTAGAATTTTGATAATTACGTAATAAAAATTAAATATCATGAAGTAAATATATAAATACATAAATAGATACAATAAATAAAAATTAAAAATTTAGAATTAGATAAATGCCTAAATACAATCTTGTTATATATGAAGTCAATATAGTATAAGAATTTTGAGAATTATATAATAAAAATAAAAAAAAATTAAATATATAAATACATAATACCTAAATAAAACATGTAAATAAATGAAACATAAATACGTAAGTAAATACTTAAGAAGATCATTACAAATTTTGAAAATGAACAACATAATGTAGAAGAATAGTAGGGGCTGAGAAATAGATTAGAATAAGAGTTTTGATAGATTAGAATATAGTTTTTGATTATGGAGGATGAAGAGCAGTAATTGAACAAAAGTTGATGAGAACTAGTATTTTGAATGAATTAGGATGACTTAAATTAAAAGTTCTTGGAAATTCTTGATAGAGAGTCATTCTTGAGTAAAAGTCTTGACTAATAATCCTGAGTTGAGAATTTATTAATATAGTTAAGATTAATATATTAAGGAGATGGAGTTAGAAAATATTCTTAAATTCTTGATTGAGCTTGGGAGATCTTGAAGATGTACTTAAATAAAGATGGTCTTGAGTGAAAGCATTAAAATCAGGTAGCAAAAAGGATGGCGTATTGAGTAAGGTAAATGGACATAGAAATGACATGATTTCAAGTTCCTTTTAAGATTATCGATGTTTGCGGAGATATAATTTATTACATTTTGAAGATGATTTCTTAGAATATTACTTTTTCATAACTTTTCAAACCACAACTGAACAGAAGTTAAATTGTATGCTTTAATGTGGTAATCTTTAGTAAAGTTGCAGTGAAAGAGATAATGATCTAATTATTAAATCTTTGTTTTACACATTAAGAGAGATTTTTCACAGATAATATTCATTTGAAATATATAATAAGTAAAGTGTCTTCTTGTATAATCTCTTAGACCAGTTTTCTAAAAATTACCCGAAAATTAAAACTGAAAGGTTTCAGATTTTAATGATGGTCCAGAAGGGTTTGTTAAAGATTTTTACACTCTCGCTGTCTAGTTAGTCTGCTTTTACACTCACTCCTCCTAGCATTGTTTTGCATTCATTATTTAGCATCATATTCTTCATATTTACGTCATACACAATTCAACAGCAAAATTACGAAATTCTTTGTTTAATTTAACAAAATTTAGAATTCTGAATGCAGTGTTAAGTGTTTATATACATTTTAATATTTTTTTCACTCTTTTCACAGTTCATCACACCAGTGTTCATTTTTCTCAGAAAGATGACAATCAATAATGTTTTTTGTCTTTTTTTGTCTTATTGATGTTTTATGTGTTAATTTTATTTATTAAGGCGATTGCTTATTTTTCATCTCGTCTGCTTCCAAAAAAATAAAAAAATCCTAATGTCTCTACAAGGTCAATGAGATAAAGAAATGGGTTCGACGTATGACTTATTGCTTTATCTTGATGAAGTTTCACTTTTGAAAGTCAATGAGATAAAGAAATGGGTTCGACGTATGACTTATTGCTTTATCTTGATGAACTTTGACTTTTAAAAGTCAACGAGATAAAGAAATGGGTTCGACGTATGACTTATTGCTTTATCTTGATGAAGTTTGACTTTTAAAAGTCAATGAGCTAAAGAAATGGGTTCGAAGTATGACTTATTGCTTTATCTTGATGAAGTTTGACTTTTAAAAGTCAATAAGATAAAGAAATGGGTTCTTAAGTAAGACTTATTGCTTTATCTTGATGAAATTTGACTTTTAAAAGTCAATGACATAAAGAAATGAGATTTCTTTTGTAAAAACCGGACGTAAAACTTTCCCTGATAGTATGTTGAGTTGATTTTAACACGTGTTTTCACTATTCTTATTTCTAATTTCTACTCTAAGAGAATTCTGTCGACAATCATAAGTCCTTTCTTCGCTTTTGATAATAAATAATTTTTTTTTTGGTTGCAGTCAAACCCATGCTTCATCGAGGGTCACAATCTATTTTCATTTATCTCTGCTAAATAGTTTTCATACAGAGTTCTACAAATTGTTCTGCGTTGAGTCACATGCCTCGGCAAAAGCTGGTGAACATTACGTATTTTAGCTTTTTTATCTTGTAGATCTTGGTTTATTATTTTACTTATTGCCGCCACACATATATTTAAAGACCCTGCAATTGATATCTGCGTCGGTGGGTTTTCTCTTGTTGCCAGCGATTTGACTTTAGAAACATTAGGTACAGTACGTACCTTTTCGGGTATTCATTTGGAGTTTCCTTTCCATGTAGAAGTAATAACTGACGGTTTTCCCCTTTCCAATTAATAATGTTGTTTATTTTGCCATAAAAATTTTAACAGCATGTATTTCATTTTCCCTCCGTATCGATTATCTCTACTGATAAACCATATTAAATTTTGAAAGATCCCCTTTAGGCGATCGTTAAAATCCGAACACTTTCAGCATTTTTTAAAATTTGTATTATATTTTATTTATTAACCCAAAGGGCCAATTTGCCCAGAGGGCTACTAATTTCATTTTGGAACTTTGCTTTGGTTCATTATAAAACGGCGTTTTACTTTTCAAAGTGTTGCCACCAAGTATTAGAGCCCCGCGTTATATTTAAAGAAATTAAATAATGAAGAATCTGCATGAATGTATGTATGTTTCTCGCATTGTGACAAAACAACGGTACTTGATTTGACATCAGATTTTGAAAACGTAGTCTTTTACTCGAATATGAGCATCTGGAAGCCTAAATTTGGAATTTGTTTTATTATCTGTTTCATATTTTGTAAAACGAATTTTCTTATTAATAAACTCAACGATTCCAAAGAAAGCAATGGCAACACTGCGCGGGGGAGGGGGTATCTCCAGCGCTCGAGACTGTGTATCGGAAATTCTAAAGATATGGTCTTTTCAAATATTTTGTTATATTGCAGCTGAATTAAATTTTATGGTTTAAATGCGAAGAGCATGATATTTAGTAAATAAAGGTAACACATAAAGCGTAAGAAAAAGTCCCTTGGAGCGTAGTATAAAATCTGAAAGCTTCAGATTTTTCTTTTGTTTATTAAAACATTTATTTAGTTATGTGGTAGAGTCAATAGGCTTTTTTTTTAAAGCAAGACATGTGAAATATGTGCAATACCCTAGCCTGAACTCGAACCTTGATGTCTCAGATACGCTCCGAGTATGACGTTACACCACGATGGCATGCTGGAAAATGGGAGAAAATACCTTATATTCCTCCTTTTAAAGGGAGACTCGGAATTAAGATAACCTATTGCTAAATCCTAGTGGTGACGAATTATTATGTAGTAGATTTCCTCTCATATTAGGGTGTGCACCACCCTTTTAGTTCGGGCGCCACTTGTAGAGTCATTAGGTTTTTCTGAAGTAGGATATATGAAAAATTAGCAATGCCCACGCCGGGATTCGAAGCTGGATCTCTCGAATACTACAAGTGTGTAACGAATACTACAAATGACAAGTGACGGAGGACGCGGGCACTGCCCCTTTACCATTAGGTTAATCGGTGTAGCACCGCATCCACCCCTGTCTAGAGACAATACTAAAAGGAGGAGATCTACACGTGAGAGCCCCCCACCCGGCGCCGAAGCCCAACGCCTGATCCAGGCCCAAGTGCCGTTCGCCACCATAAGCGCCACTGGGAGTTTATTGAGAAATCAAGTAAAAATTACATGTCCATACAAGGGACGATAATGACAAAAGTTATCATGAACATAAGTATTATGTAAGGTAATAATAAATATATTTAAGTTGACAGATATAATAAGAAATGATTGAAATATAAGAAAATAGCAAGAAACAATATGATGAAAATATTAAGTGCAATAGATATATAATACAGAAATAATTATAATAACATAAAAGATTTTGACGTGGGGGAACGGCACTTAGAAGGCATGAACAATATATATAATACACACAACTCTATACATACTATACAACTGGTATACATCAACGGTATGCTTGCAAATTGAACGATGCAGTTACACCACAAAGGCATCTGCGAAAGAGGGAGAAAATATCTTGTAACGTTATTACTATGTTTACTCGTGTAAAAGTCGCCCCTCACGTAATAGTCGTACTCTCGTTTTGAAGCAGCAAAAATCGTCAAAAGTGTCCAATATTGTGCATTACATTTCCCCACATATTAGTAACACCTAGACTTTCACAATGAAAAATCAGCAAAAAAAAGTGCGAATATTACGTGAGCAAACATGGTAGTTATTGGTGCTGCTGCTTCATTTATGGTTAAATTTTATTTTTTTTAAACGTTAATGTAAATTAGTTACCGTAAAATGTTTTGTAGAGTTGCTATTTTAAACTGTGTTTCCTGCGAGATTATTCGTTGATATTTTCGTTTCTTTTTCATCTTAAAATTATTATATTTTTCTTATCTATAATTCTGCTTTTAATAATTTTAAAGCATGCTTGTCATTTTTCAAATTGAAATTTCAAGCAATTTCTATTAATTTACTTGAAGTTTCATCTTAATATTAACACTGTAAAAGCAGAAACTTTGGATATAAATTTCATAAAATAATAAAAACTTTAAGATACAAAAAATGACGCATTAAAAAAATGCGTGAAAATGAAATTAAAATGACGCATAAAAGCCTTTATGAAATTAAAATGAATTTCATAAATGAAATTAAAATGAATTTCATAAATGAAATTAAAATGACGCTTACCTTTAAAAATGACGCGTCATTTAAAAATTATTGAAAATGGCGAATTATAATAACCCAGTAAATTTAGATAATTTTAAGTAATTTTTGAGTTCCCTGTAGTTATTTAAGATTTTTGTTATTATGCTGTGCTACCACATATGCTACCACATATAAAGCATATGGTTTTTTTTTACAATTTTTTCGAGAAACTTAAAAATGTTAATTTATTGTAGTGATTGGTGTTTCGGTTGGAGTGTCCGTCATCGCTATCATCGTGATTGCAATCACAGCTGCCTGCCTGTATTTATGGAAGTAAGTATAACTAACTGTTTTCAGCATGAATGATATTTCGACGTAAATTTCATTTTGATATAAAGAGTCAATAACAGATAACTTAGTTTTGAGAGCCTAGAAACCACTAATATTTTACGCGGATAACCTCGATCTATTTTACCTCAAGGTGACGATGATGATGGTGGTGACGCAACTAGTTTTGTGAAGAGCTGCACCACGAACTCAGGTAGACGCACAGTCGGTCCCGATCCCAATTTAAGACCTCCATATTAGGCAAAGAGGGGGCGCTCGTCAGGCAAATCTCGCCACCAAACGAGAGTAAATGTAATTCACCATGCGCCACCCATACCACACTTACAGGCGACAGACTAAGAGAGATCTCTTAAATCCATAGCTAAATTGATCGACCGGGGTCACCACCTCCGGAGATCACAGACCACATTGGGGAGCGTTCCTATAAGCCTGACGATATATTATGTCAAAATGTGACTTTTATAAAAAGACTGTAAAACCGTTTTCTTCGGGGGGGGGGCGACCCATTGGATAAAGTGTTTAAGTACCTGCAATCAGTAGCTTTATGTAAGAATATACGACATGGATTAATTTAGAAATGATTCAGTTTAGAGTCATTTATTAAAAGCAATTAATATTTTTAGAGCAGAAAGGGGAAACAGCCAAATTAAAATATCAGATTCTTTTACATTGATCCATTCACATGTGTACTAAATGCTTAAGTTAATCATCATCAAATTTACAACATCAGTTAATGTAACTAAACAGTTTTTCTTATTTCAATTAAGTTGAATAACCTCAATTACTTTTTGACATTATTCAGTCAGACAGGATAATGGTTTAAATAAATTGATTTTGCTTGTGATAATTTATTAAAAATATTACTATTCGCCGATGAATTAATTAAGTTGTTATTTATTGTTCAGCCGGCGCTGGAAGCGAGCTCATCAGAAGTCGGAAGCATCCAAAAACACCGCTTACAGACTGCAGACAATGGCTGATCACGTCAGATGGGGAACAACTACTGGGCTCAGCAGTACATATGTGGTGAGTATTAGTGAGGTTTTATTAAATGGTCTGTAACATAAATGCCAAGAAATAATATAATTTCGTTATCATTGCAATAATTCGCACCTTATTCTGTAATTATGATTTAAATTAAATATATTTGTTATCAATCTCTGCTTCACATAGAGTAGTCACAAAGTTTAATTCTGCTCACCTTAAAATTTTCTTTTAATTTGAAACGAATATGTTTTCCTTTTTGAAATGAAAATTTATTATCCAGTAAGAACCTTCTTATTTAATCCTGTATCTGTGGGAATATTTGCTTCAACGATTATTCCTGTTATTAGCGTTGTTTATTTTGTAATAGGAGACACGAAAAATCAGCAATAGCCTTTCCAGTATTCGACCTCCGGGGCCTCTCAGCTAACGACCAAAAAACGAATGAAAAAAAGACCAAAAAACGACCAAAAACGAATGAAGAAACACCAAAAAACGAATGAAAAAAAATCACAAAAATCGACCCAAAAAAAAAAAAAAAAATGAAAATCACCAAAAAACGGATGAAAAAAATCACAAAAAACGACCCCCCCCCAAAAAAGAATGAAAAACACACAAAAAAGATCAAAAACGAAAGAAAAAACACTAAAAAACGACCAAAAAAGAATGAAAAACACCAGAAAACAACCAAAAACCAATGAAGAAATGACCAGAAACGAATGAAAAAACACCAATAAAACAAGCAAAGAAGAAAGAAAAAACACCAGAAAAAAAAAGAATGAAAAACACTAAAAAACGACCAAACAGCGACAGAAAAAAACTCCAAAAAAAAAACCAGCTTAACTTACTTTCAACTACATTCCAAAGGTACGCGGGAAGAAAGGAGAAAATTCCTTACATTCTCCCCTACTTAAAATGCAACTTTAAATGAGACCGTTTGCCAGATCTAGGTGGTGACGAATTACCATTCATCACATTTTAATTCGAGCGCCATTTGTGGAATCGTATAGAATTTTTTGGAAGCTTTGAAACATGAGAAATCAACTGCCCTCTCCATTATCCGAATTCGGGACATCACTATTACCAACCGACCGTGATTTCATTTACACTGCAAAAGCACAGAGTAAGGAAGGGAAAAAACTGGGAGATGATGTAATATGTTATCTACCGTTTTTAGGTAGCTATTTATTTTTTTGCTTGGCTGGACTAAATTTGGTTATTTTAATCATTTCTTTTCATGCCATTTTAGTGCACGTTCAGTAGCGTAAAAATAGGGCTTTGGTGGCGCCATCTAAGAAATGAATAACTATGGTATATTCCGGCGTGTAACGCTAATTTTTACTAGCAGCGCCTAAACAAAGTTTTAAGATTGTCGCGTCATAGTGACATCACTTTATAGATATTTCCCAGTCATGTGACTTTTTTTGAACTTTCGGATTTTACGTCGACCTCGAAACAAAAGGCTGAAATGCGAATCTTTCTTATCTGTTATATCAAGAGAGATGGAAATGGCACGTTTTTTTTGAAAAAGCCTCAACTGGTAGAGTTTGAAATGAGACATAACGTCTAAAATGATTAGTTAAAAGATTCACTCATAGATGGCGCTAGGTGCGTAGCGCAGACTAGTATCGCTTTCTTCCTTGCAAAGTAATCTTTTCTCCTTGCAGCTGAATTTCAATGATTCGTAGCTGAAAATTAGAAGTGGCAGGAATACTAAATTTTCTGAAACGCGAAACTTAATAAATTTTTTTATGTTCAGTCTCTTGAGGTCTACATGTAAGAATAATCAAAAGGAGGAGTAAACAGAATTTTTAGTAATATTAACGGTTTCTAATAACAGGAAAATTTAACATCTCTCCATTTAGTAAAAAATATATTTAAGAATACCTTTTTATTCGCCTATGTTTATTAAGGATGTACAGTATTTAGTAACTGAAGTATCTCATTAAAATACTAGAGACTTGAAATTTATTTTGTCGATATACTTTGATGAAAAGTTTTGAGTCCTACTTATAATATTTTCATGGAATCTTCTAAACAAGTGTACAGAAAGGGAAGCAGAAGAGGATTTCAGGATTTAACTTCCATTAACACCAAACCTAGAACTTATTAAGTAATAGTAATTTTTTTAGTAAGTAAAATTTTTTACTATTTATTAAACAAAAGGTAAAGAGCGAAAAAAAAGATGCTATATGTTTGATATTATTAACAAAATTAGCAATTTTTTCTCCCTGGGGAAAATTACAAAAAAAAAATCTATTTACAAAAAAACAATATTACATGGTTGGTATGATTGTTAATACATTGTATGTCTCCCAGCCGATGCAATACAGTCCGTACAACGCCTAGGCATGTTGAGTATCAAATTATCGATCTGATCTTGGGGGATATTACACCACTCAAAAAGCAATGCTCTCCGAAGTTCCGGTAGACATGTAGGAGGAGGTAGACTGGCTGCAAGTCGTCGGCCAAGCATGTCCCACACGTGCTCTACTGGATTCAAGTCCGATGAGAATGTTGGCCAGTCCATACGGGTGATATCCTCCGATTGAAGGCATTCGCTTTCGATGTTTGCACGGTGAGGACGGGCGTTGTCATCCATAAACACAAACTATGCGCCCATGGCGCTCCGAAACAAACGTAAATGTTGTTCCAGAATGACGTCCCGATAGATTTGGCCTGTCATGGTTCCAATTTGAATATGCAGGTCAGTTCTGGAACCCAGAATAGTTCCACTCCAAACGAGCACTCCTGCACCATCGTAACGGTGTCGTTCAATGATGTTTTCTTGGTGGTAACGGGTGCCTGGAGCTCTCCATATGAAAGTCCGGCAAGAATCAGACTGCAAGCTAAACATGGACTCGTCGGAAAACATCACACAAGCCCCCTGTTGCGGTGTCCACAATGCATGCTCTACTCCAGGCTAACCGCAGGCGACAGTGAGTTGCAGTAAGTGGAACGCATCTGACAGGTCTACGAACATATAGACCAATCTGCCCTAAGCGTCTGTACACGGTCTGCCTTGAAATTGTCGTACCAGTGGCTGAAGAAAGCTGACGAGACAGGTCTGAGGCTGTGCTCCCGCCTGTTTCTTTTCGCAGTAACTGCCAAATACCGGTCTTCATTTGGCGTTGTAACTCTGGGGCGACCTGTGCTGTAACGTCTACTCACATTACCATCTTCTTGGAATGTTACCAAAGCCTGAAGATGACACTCTGGGCAATTCCAAGTTCGTCTGATACTTTCAGTTGGGTACGCCCACATTCCAGACGGCCGATAGTTCTACCACGTAAAAAATCCTCCAAATGCGTCCTTTCTGTCATAACTATTCGGTTATTGCACTGAAATGCTTATAAAGCGCCTGCGAACAATTTTACTTCTTTGCCTGCATTCCTTATATATCACTCTCTTACACTCTCGTCATTGTGACGTACCATCGGTGTTCATCTGGTTACTTCCTGAAATTTGCATATGATTCTTGAAGATGTGTGTAGTGATTTTACAGGTGATATATTTATTTTAGAGTTCGATTTCCGACTGACTCCGAATTATCCTTAATTTATGGACATGAGTATAGTTTTGAATGTCGAATCTTTTCGGGTTCGGAGGGTTGAAATATCCAGTTGCTTTTGAAAATTTCTCCCATCGTGCATGGCATCCCAAGATGCTTTAATGAAATGCGATTTCATATGTTTAATTTTATGTTATGATATTAACATTTTGGATCGAATTTTATATATAGTACTTATATTTAATATCTATCTTAATTTGATTCTTTTGAAAGTATATAAATCTGGATCGCAGCATATTAAATTTCGCAATCTCTGTGTAAAACATGCAAATAAATACATGACAATGATACAAAATATGTATAAGTAAATGCATATAAACACATAATAAATACTAATGCATAAAGAAATACACGAATACATAAAAACTACGCATAGAAATATATAAATAAATACAAATATTTTTGTTTGTATTTTTCATTTATGCAGCAATGCATCATACTACATCACTCGCACATGATTTACTAACAGAAATAGAAAAGAATATCAAATATACGACGGCCAACCCGCTAATCTGTGTGAATATGAGATTATAAGTTTGGGTGTGACGTAATATATACAGATGGAAATATCAGGATGGCTACAAGAAAGATATAGTTATATTTAGCTGATACAGTTCTTTATTTATGGTAGAACATTATCAGTATTAACACAGGAAAAGAAAGTGGCGTAAAACGGGGATGCGCCAGTAATTTCATAATTATAATCGTCGCTCGCGTATTCGTAGTATTAAAACTGATAGGAAATTGAAACAATACAGATTACAACTCAGCAAGACGAAGGCAAGTGTGATAAGACTGATGATTTTGTTATTGGTGTCAGACTGACTAAGATGAAGTTATTATATTTCTGCGAAAAGAGAGCATTTTAATTTTTACTTCCTTGTAGGAAGTAAAAAGGAAGTATTGTAATCGCGAAAAGTTTCAGGCAGCATATTTCAACGAAAATATCCATTTTGATCGCTATCGAACGCAATTTAACGATTTTGCGTGATATCTGTACGCAAGGACAGAAAAAAACACTCTTTTCCCCCCAAAAAATTATAAAACCGCTTTAAAATGAATTCTGAAGAAAATTTTTCGCGGCGTCTGTACGAACGTATGTACGTACGTATCTCGCATAACTCAAAAACGAGTAGCCTCAGAACGTTGAAATTTTGGATATAGGACTGCTATAACCTGTAGATGTGCATCTCGTATTTTGGTGGTTGCAGTCGGCCGCACCAAACGTATATAAATATTTTTATATATATATCCACTCTGTTACCCGGCTCAGTGATCTCAGTTTCTTTACTCTTATATGTTTGTAAATTGTACATTTGTTGCTTTAAAAATGATTGAATTGTGTTGTTCTTTTCTTTCGGTTAAGGTTTTTATGCCTTTAGTAAATCTGTATGCTATATTTTTAGAATTATCAACAATTTGAAAGTTGTTTAAGTGCCACTAAGCCTTTTTTTATGGCGGCCATTGATTG